TAATTGTATTTTTCTTCTCTTGCTAACAAAGTTGTGATTCAGCTTGCGAGAGGCTGAGGGTATGTAAGTGTGTGTGAGGGCCTGATTTGATCAAGCCCGAGGTCACCAAACAGTGTGTGGACTAGTCTGAAACACTGCGGAACTCACCCTTTGATAAGGTGAGCTGAATGCTTGTGGTTGTGCATGAAATTCTGAATTTCTAAAATCCAGGAAAAGCCAGTAGAATCCAAACAAAATAATGCCTGAGCTGGCCTCGAATTTAAAATGGGATTTTATTTTAGAGTATTAAAATGACCAAAGCTCAAATTTTTATTCATAGTTTTCATGACATAAACCTCCTTTCCTTCATCAACAAACTGTGGAATGCACGCTCACGTTCCTTAAATATGCATTTTATTCAACTTAATATACACACTAGTCTTACCTGACATGGGACCCCCAAAAGTTTCAGCCTTTAATCTTAGGATTCTAACATTTCTGAACTAAAATAAACACTTTTTTTTAGACATTTGACCCGCGTGCATGTGTGTGTGCCTTTGTGTGTGGTCTGTGGGTACAATGTAGTTTTCTCACTGAGTCGGTGAAAATATTGAAAGCATAAGGTTTTGATACCAAAAGATACACAACTGCAAGACAGAGGATGGACGAAAATATGACATTAATTCTGTCTGATGTGTTTTAGTTCAATAACCAAGAGGTTAAACAAGTTCTTGGCTTGTGGCCTCGCTACTGTGATAAATAAACCCTGTTTTTTTAACATTCTGTAAGTTATCTGCATGCATGTGTGTGAGCACATTTATCTTTTTTATTTATTTTTCCCCAAAGATCCTCCCTGACTCATCTGGCTTGATGAAACAAAAAAAAATAAAAAAAACATATGGCAAGCAGGTTGAGCACACGAGAGTAGAAACTGACGGTTTGTGTAAATCTTTCTTCAGGTGCATTTACCTGAGCTGAAAAGTAAGTACGGGATTGATCTTAAAGTAATGAAAATTCAGCTTTTTTGGTGTTGTTGTTTATATATTTTTTATTATTCATTCCATTCAAGACATTAACATTTCATGCATAGTTGGTCTCTTTTGCTGGAGTCCAGCTGATCAAAAGAGTTCTGGATGCCTCAATATATTTAATTAATGAACAAAAAACATTTTTCAGAAGTACCAGATGTGATTGGTTCTGTTGGTGCTCTACTGAAATCCTGTAGAAACTCTTAACAGACATAAAATGAGATCAGTAAGGGCTAATAAGTGTCATAGAAACCGTGCCTTATTAAAGTTAGAAACTCAGAGATGCAAATCATTTGCTCCAGTATTCATCCTTATTCAACAGAGCAAAAAAAAGCTTTTTAAGAAATACATGTGAACATAATATCACCTAGAAGCATCATTGCATTACATTATAAACAGGTATTTTTGGTGCCTCTTTGAACTATCGTGAGATAAAAATTAACAGAGCGGCTCTGGGATATTTGACCTGAAGTACCTCAAGTAATTTTCCAAATTACTGACACACAAAGTGACCGAATGCACGACGAGCAGCAAGACGTGCATTCCTTTCAGGGGCACCTAAAAGGTTTCACTGTTGCTTCTTCAGGCAATTGATTCAAGCCATCTGACCGTGGAATTTCACTGCTAACAGATTCACACAAGCTCACACATACGTATACAAACAGACACAAACACACGCATATACACACATAAACATATCGACTGAATTATGCACAAAAAGTTTACAATAGATATTATCCTTACAATATATGAGTATACAGCCCTTTTAGTCAGTCTTATAGTGCCTATAATCCCAATCCAACTCTCATAATGCTAAAGTGACAAAGATCTGAGGTACAAGAAGAAAAACCATAAATGTCAGCTCACTGTGTCAATTAGATGGGTAATTTAAAGTATGTAATTTGTAATTAATTTTTTTTTCTTCTTATTGTTAAGATTCAATGCCATTCCCAAAAATATCAGTGATTTGCGTGGCTCGCTAATGTTTATGGTCTCTTGAGTGGATTTAAACAGCTAAGACAGCTATGAAGCACCACGAGTCTTTAAAAACCAGATGAAGAGGCAAACAGGAGATCACCTTTGAGGCGAGGCAGTGTGCTGCAAAATCACTGCCCTTAACTAAGCCATACAGAGACTTTGCTGTTGGTAATGGAATGTGTGGCCATATACTCAATCAATTACAGAGCCAGGAAAAAAAAGAAAAAAAAAATCTGTGAAACTGCTTCTCATAGACACCATGTGAGGACAGCATGGTGATTATGCAAGAGTCAGATGCTGAGGCAGCGGAGCAGAGGGGAACATCCAGTCGGTGCTCATATACGGGATTGTACTGGACATCCTTCAGAGATACGGCAAAACATCTTCTCTTTGCACCAGTTTACCAACAATGGTGTTGATGGTGAAGCGGATGATGCAGGGGAATCGTCTAAGGCTTGTTCTGAGAAGCAAGATCTCTTTTTAGCCTCTGGTCTTCGGTTAGATTAATCTTCTGAAAAAGAAAGTGTGCAGAAAGGTTAAGGAAATTAGATACTTTAACTGTGTGTGTCTTGTGAAAGTGTCACAATAGGAGTGTGTGCCAAACATCTGGAGGCTGAGTGGTACAGAACGAAAAGTTAACTAAAGTTAAGTGATTTTTAAGATGGAGACCCTCATGGACAGTTCACATGAACATGAGCATAGCTTAAATTTGCAATTGCATGAGCATAAGACCCATTCTAGGGAGGGAAACCGCTCAATAGGATACTTATGAAACATGCTTGGTTAGTGTTTGTTTGAAATGTCTGTCCTGTATGATTAATCTGGGGTGAACCTCAGCCAACACGTTATAAGACAGCTGACAAATGGTAGCCAAGCAGCTGACAAAGTTCTTGTGTAACTCGTTCGAGAGAGCAGCAAGAAAAAATAATAACTTTTTTCTAGCAAAATAAGACTTTCATAATAGCAACTGCTCTTTATTTAATCCATCCATCTATTGTCTCTACTCCTGCTGGGATGGGCAACATACATGCTGAATATGAACAAGTGCTTTTAATGCTGCGGGTCATGCAAAAACCCAGCCGCCGTGTGAGGCACTGCAAAAAGCACGGCACAAAAAAAGTACACTGAATGTTGCTCACGCCATGACTGATTTCACAAAAAGTCACACGGGATAACTGGGATGGACACACATTCTGCCTACTGAGAGTTGCATTTCATCAACGTTTTATAGCTACATCGGTGTAGCAGAGCATCCCAGCAGACCTCTGCTCTTTCACTGCTTCAAAAGTAACTCCAGCAGATTGCCAAGAGCCACACGGGGGACAGGAGCCTGAGTATTATATTCTGCCGAATTGGAAAGGAATTTTTCAGCTCGAGTGGATAGCTGCCACACTCCACAATAATCACAAATATGAAAAGACATGTAACAACATTCGCTCAGGTTTCTTAACTTTTCAAGTCCTGTAAAATATTCTAGAGCTCTAAAACTGTTGATTTTAACTTCTCCTTTCACGTTTTTTTTCCAAGAGCCATTTTGCTGCTATTTGTATGTCAAACAGCAACACGAGGCACAGCGAACGGTAAATGGTGAACACACTGAGAGCTGAAACGTTTTCAAACAGAAAAACCTAGCAAACAGTTCCTCACCTTCTTTACGCAAAAAACACTTCCAAAGGCAGAAGCAGAGGGACATAACCAGCAGAGCAGCTACTGTGGTGACTGATATCAGGATGGTGAGAGCTGTGCCAACTAGAAGAGAAAAAGAGGGAAAATTGATCAGAAGATTTATCATTTTCAATTACAAGTTAAATATATAAGTTTTAAATTGGATTTAGATGTTGCATTTTGTGTGTGTGGGCAGAGCACATGTGCAAAACTGAACACAGCTTTCCCTTTTTAGAGTTTTTCTAAGTGAATTTGAGATTTAAATGATAGCGTTACAGTTTGATTTATCTCATGTGTGCACTTTTGAACCAGTAAAGCACAATTAACTGAAGGCCATCCACATACTAAAGCTATACAAGTGCTGCACATTTCTATCAAAAGTAATCAGTTATCTCAATTTTGGCAGAAATGGAAACATGCTTTTCGCTTTCTGGCAGAAATTTGAATGAGAAGATTGTGAACACTCTTTTGCCTCATAGTCAGTATGCAGTCATAAATATATTGAATGTCATGCTTCTTGGTTTGTTGTGTTTTGTGGTTTCTGGGATTTATGTTAAGTTAGTCTTTTTAATTATGTTTATGGCTATTGAGCCAATCCTGTCCATTTTGGTTCTTGATTCTGGTTAACTTTATTTCCTGTTTTATTCAGTAGATAGTTTTCCCACTATGCCTTGCTTACAGCCTTTGAGTCACCAGGTGTCTGTCTTTGAGTGACACACTGCATTAAGATCTATTTTAAATCATAACTTAAGTCATCCCTTGCTGATTTTCTTTGAGCAGTGTAAGACCCTTCTCATTCTTCTCTGACTTCGTTCCTTTGTTCATATCAAGTTAAACCCAGTTTCTGTTTCTATGTCATCTGGATTGCTGTTTATTGATTTTCCACTACTCCAGCTGTTTGGACTTGTTAAAAAATCTTCCTTAGTAATAAACCTTTGCCTGGTCCTATATTTGGGTACTTCCCAAATCATGACATTGAAACTGCCCAGTAATCCATGAGAACTCCTAAGCAAAAAAAAAAATAATGAAAAAAAATAAAAAAGGAAAACCTTTTCTGATTCAAGAACAGAAACAGCTCATAGATTCTGGCCTGCTAGATATGCATAACAAGATCATAATATGTCACCATAGTACTGATAGTTATGCAAGATTATTACTGAAACTGGATAGTTTCCTTATAGACGTATAAATGATCAAACATCAGTAAAAGCAATCATTACAAGCCGATTTTAGACCGCGGTAGAGTGTAGCTCCCTTGTTTTTGATTAAAAAAAGCAACATACTGGTGCTGAACCAGAGACCAGAATCTTCCTACGTGCCGCCACATGTCATCATGCCACCACAACCTCAATCACACATAGATTCGGCTTGAACTCCACCACCGACTGAGAAATGCAGCAATCTGCTACTTTATTTTTCATAACATTAAAAAGAGTGTTTGCATGAAAAAGAAATCCCCCTCCTTCTTTAAGCCACTGGAAATGCAACCGAGTTGTGTGTTGATATTAGCTCTTCAGTAAATTGCAGTGAAACGATTATTTTCTTTCATTACGTAAATTATTTTTAGAATAGGATGATTGGAGAAAATATATTTGCAGGGGTAATATTAAACAGTGCGTTTTTAAAAAAGACCAGTCAGAATTGTAAAGCTCTCACTGGAAAAGCTCAAATTGAAAACCATGGTGAGTCAGACCTAAAAGATGCATGTCCACCAGGTCTAGTTGGAGTGAGCTCTCAAACCCTGACCTCAAAATCCTGCAGAGCTGGACCGCGCCAGCACCCCAATTTATTTCTGCCTCATAAAATCGGTCAGAGGCATAATGCTTTCCAACTTCTATCTGTGGACATCTTGTTGAGGTATTAACGTGGGCTTCAATATTTACTGCCACGATAACTGATGGCTTCAGAGAGCAGACCCCACTTCCTTTCCAACTTGTTCAACGTGAACATCGTCAACTTGGGTGTGCAACTATTCTCAGGTCAGACGTTCACGTTTAATGTACCGTTATTTCATGCAGATCATTTGTACAGGGAGTCAGCGGGAAGTCAGCTGGCTCGTCTTGCATGCTCCCACACGTCTGAATAGCTGGAACAGTTTTTGAGCTCTCTTAAGAAGCCAAAAACCGAAGGAAAGAACAACTTACAATCTCATGCATTTATTCAAATACGTAGGACTGCATTCTGGAAAAACTGGACTCTTGTTCGTATTTGGTCGGGACATGTAAATGAAACAAAATATTTGATGGCAGTTGTCTACGTGGATGCAGGTCAGCTGATGGGAAACTCACTTTTAGTGTTCATGGATACAGCGATGGGTGACTCGAGCCCTTTGTGGTGCACCAAGCATTTGACGGACACGTCTTTAAGCAGCCCCGACCGGACAGTCAGTGTGCTGATGACGAGGGTGGTCCCGTCGGCCTGGGGGAACTGTGCTGTCACGGGGGGGCCCATGGTGCGGTTGTCCCTCTCAACATTCCACACGATCTCTGCTGGGGGCCGAGACAGAGCGGTGCAGTTGGCCTCGATCACACCTGGAGAGGTGGTCTTGTAACTCACTTGAGGTTTCGGCAGCACTGCAGGCACGAGTAAAAAACAAAACACTTTTTCAAAAATCATTAAAAAACTGTGCGGCACAAATGACCAAACAAAGAAAAGGCTGCTCTGTGTTTGTATAAAAGACAAATGTTGGTCCCCTTCAGTTTATGTCATGTGTATAATATATTATACAGTCTCAGTAGTAACAAAAGATCATTTTTGGATAATATGTTGCGTTGGGAAGGCAAATAAAACGTAGTACCCATGTTCTAGATGGGGCTTTTGTATCATGCCGATAATAGCTGGTACAAAGCCCTGAATACCTGGGATCAGCTAAGACGCAAATTCCTGCTTTGATAAGATCCATAAGTAAATCTCTGAGTGTTTTCAATTCTCTGTTCTCAAGACTGTGAGAGGAATGTGATGCACTGGAACCCAGAACATTTTTGTTGGCAAGAACACATTTAGCCACAGATATTTGGCTGTAATAGGTTCAGTATCTTTTCAGCATTCCGAGGGATGAACTGCACCCACCACAGCCTGGATAATGATTGTGGGGTTTGTTAAAATGGGAAAAATCAGACATCATTCCAAACCATAATAATACAGAAAGGTTAGCAAGCAGCTGCAGTAAAGTTTGACAATGATCAAATGTTTCAATATCTGCACAACTGCTGGATGTCATCAGTTCTTCCATGCATTGATAAAATGACTGCATTACTGCAGAGTGCTTTGTAGAATCTCAATTTCCACTAACCCTAACCCTCAAAGAAATTCAAACATTTGCCATAATACCTTTAAAGACACGTGCTGCCAATATATTTCTTCAGATGCATTTGATTAGACTTTACGAATCTAAGGCCATATAATAGATGTTGTAGTTTCAGTACTTGAAGAACCAAAACACTTCACACAATTTAAACCACTGATAAGCGAGTTTAAAAGAGTGCACCGGTAAGGATGAAATTATTCCAGAAACAAAGCTCCAACCTAATCACTTCAATATGGTAAAACCTATAAATGTTTCCCATCTGTTTCACCACAGAGCCACTGATAATTTCATGTCAAAGGTGGAATGGATACTTCTACCATTGCAGACAGTTTTTGTAGGACAAATGAATGTTCTCAAACAGTAAAATTCCATCTAATATGGTCATATGTCTGCTTGAACCCAGTGACTTCTACAGTCACAGTATGATGAATCTAACTTTTCCAAAGTAACTGAATTACAGTGTCACTGGGAGTTTGCACACTTCAGATTATAATTCTTTCAGTCTCTGCAGGGTTGGAATCGAAGCCATTTCAGTGCTTAACCCTTTAACATCACATCTTGACACGTACATTTCCGAGAACTACTACAGTATCACGTCCTCAAAGCTTTGTTAAAAAAAACAAAACAGAGGAAAAACAACCTGCTATGAATAACATTTCCCCCTTTTGTCCAATTTTTTTTATAGAAAAGCATGCAAAAAATATGATATATTAAGGTTTATAGGGTTTAAATCAATTCAGTTTTAGAAATAAAAAATCATTTCAAAGAATTTTTCAAATGAATTTATGTATTTATGTTTTTCCCACCTTGGAGTTTTTTCCAGGCTTTGAGAAATCATTAAAAAAACAAAACAAAAAAGCTATGGCTCTATGAGCAGTCCACTTCTGTGTTTGCATTGTTTATTAATATGGTTTATATGGTTAAAAGTGGGGGCCGAGTGGAAGCCATTGTGTCATCCAAAGTGGAACGGGGGCAGAAGCAGGCAGCAAGGGTAAAACATTAATACTAATCATGTCTCAGCACTAAGAACACCTACTGTACTGTAGAGTTCAATTTCAAACAAAAGTGCATCTGTTTCTTGAGATTACTGTGATAGGAAGAGAATGGGAGAAAAGTGAAAAAGCAAATGAGCACAAAGGGAGGCAGACAAAGCACAGAGAGAATCACTGTCTGCTGCAAACACTGACACAGTCATGCGTCAGGACCTCACTCCCTGCCTCCATCATTCTTTCTAATGGGCCATTCTTCACATTGACACACTTGTTCTGTGTTGGTGTGCTAGCAAACTGACTGACAGTCTACAGCTGCTGTACCATAAAACCATTCTGGAGCCAGAAGATCAACATTCCTGTCCAAATCCCAGAGGTACCTGTTTGTACTGCCAGCAGGGTCCAGGTTAAGTCTCCTTGCACTCACATTCACTGTTTTCCCTCATGTCTTCCCAGCACCTTCGTTGAGTGTAAGAAATATTTACTGGCTGCTGCAAATCTTAAGAAATGTGTGTTTTTTTTAAAAGAATATTTTGAATATAAGCAACACTCAATCAGTCCTGCAAAGGATTGACAACTGTGGCGGCAACACCGCCGGCAGACCACGATAAATATTTTGATTCTGTGGGATTAAAGTAAAGATCGGTTTCTTGGTCCAGAGTGGAAGACTATATGCCAAGCTGACTGACTGCCTTGAAATCTATTGTAAAACGGCGAAGTTTGCTTTAGTGCAAACAATCCTGGCTCCAAGGTTGAGACTCACTGAGATTTACTTGAGAAGGATGATGATGAAAAATATATTCCCAAAGTTAGAGTGCATTTACAGCAGGACAATGTTTCCACAGACTGGGCCTCCATCAGCAGCAACACGGGGATATGGAAAGTTTATTTGATGTCATCTAGTTTCAGGGAAATCTTTGCTGTGAGGTCATGTGAGAGGTGAAGGTGGAGAAAGGCCCGCTTTCATAATGGCAAATAAACGTAACTGAAACGAAGGGGGCAGCGGGGGCTCAGGTGGTAGAGCAGCTTACTTTCACTTTTCTATATTGTTTGGTAACTGGTGTGAAATCAGCCAGAAAAAGTAATATAGACTGCTTGAGCTTGTGTGGCCAAAATGGCCCCAGCAGGTGTGTGGGTGAGGGATTTGACACCCTTCCCCGCTGTCTGTCCAGGCAGGTTTAGATTGTAACGTTACTTTTTTCCACACATCATCTTTGCATGTTGTGTAAAAAACTTGTGCTTCGCGCTGGTTGATTTCACTTTATGAAGTTGATATCTTGCTTCCTCAGACATTGACTAAGACTATTGTTTAAAACGGATTATTCCATGCTTCGCATTAGCTCGTTTCCAAACTATGACAAAAAAATGTTTAGCCTCCCTGAAGGCACTCACAGATTTTATCTGTGAAATTGTATCAGTTGGGAAATGCATGTAAATGCTTTAATTTGTCTTTTAAAGCTGTCTCCCTTTCTCTAATGTAATGGAATTCTAATGCTTGAGAACAAGCAGCAGAGGCAGTGGCCGGCTGCCCTTAGCCTCCAGCAGAACGAGTCAGTTATGCTTCAAGTACCATTTTCCTTCACACATAAAAATGCTACATATTGATGAATAATCTGCAATGGTAAGTGTTACACCAGCTGAAATAATAGCAAATGATTGCAGAAAGAAAAGCTTTCTTTTCTACTATACTAACAATTATGACAACAATTTGAGCCAATCAGTTGCATTTATCTGAGCTTTTACTGCATTTCAAGCTGCTAAGTTGTTTTAATTCAAGAATTAATCAACATATTAATGGTTATAGATGTGGATGTGCATTTTTTTTACTTAATGATGAATGTGTGTTGATACATACACCTTGATTGTATTTGGATATTTGTATTGGTTGCTCCTTATTTGGTCCAAATTATTTTTGTTTCCATATGTCATGAGACACACGCAGGTTCTCAAATAAAGTTGATTTTCTTCTGATTTCACTCTGAAATATTAACTTAGAGCAAGAATGTTTGATGGATGGGTGGCTTCAAATGGGTTCAGTATGTTCTTTGGAATCAATGAGGGAGGATCTTTGCTCATGATTCCTTTCTTCTTCCGCAGGAATCAACAGACCTTCTCTCATAGTATCTTAAAGGGACATCTCAGTGAGGACATTTTCCCTTTTTTTTACATGACAAAAAAAAACCTTCCGACACAGATAAATAGGAAAAACAGATTTGTTCAAACTTGGAACATGACTGCAAATTCCAGCCCAACAGGTGTTGGGCTGAACATGAGGACAAAAGGAGGAAGAAAACAAATACATTACACACTGCAGGGATTGAATATCCACTAATTTACTGCTTAAAAAAAAAATTAAATTTAAGAGGCTAGGGCTGCGTGTTTCATTGAACTTTCTTTCTTTTTAGGAAAAAGAAACATTTACCATAGGTGGATAGGCAAACCACGGAACTCTTTGGCCCATCAGGATGAGTTTCATACTGGCAGGTGAAGCAGCCCTCGTCCTGGATGGAAACAGGCTGGATAGTGAGCTGGCTGTCCGATAGCGAAGAGGTGAGCCAGACTCTTCCTTGGTATGGAGGTTCGATCATGGGGTCGCTCTTCTTTGCAAAAGAAGCCACCTCTTTGGAGTCACCTTGGACAGACGTGTGCTTCCATACAATCTGGTGCACCTTTTCAGGCAGACCAAAGGAGCATGAAAGGGAGGCCCTCTTGCCGCTCACTGCTGTTTTGTTTCTGTCCGCTATGACTTGTGCTGTGGACGAGAAAAAAAAAATGAGGAAAGAAATTAAACATGAGGAAAAGATAACTAAAGAACAGGGAGATGGAATGTGCAAAGAGGACAATGTTAATATTCAGAAATATGAGGTACCCAAACAGAAACCAGTCACTGGAATCCGCACCAGCTGTTTCTGCTTAGCAGAATAAGCCCCCATGCTCTCAGCGCTGCACAGCTCTTTATTAACATGACTGGCTCAGCCTCAGCAGGCGCATCAGCTTGTGTTAAGAAGTTAACGGTGGTTAGGGACATCTGTATTCGCATATTTCCAATTCTAATGGTTGTGTGCAAAGGGCAGGGATCCAACATCCGTCAAGCTGTGAAACGCCAACAGGGAAAGCAACAATGAAGACAGAATCCAGACAAATGTTTTTTATGATCCTCTGGAGACATCTCTGTTTTAAGCCAGGTCATTTCTCAGTCACCCTGAGAGCAACACCGTGCTTAACAATTATTCAAAAAAACAATTTTCATATTCGTGAATAGAAAACAGATGCGTATTTCCATTAATTCTGTAAAGAGGACAGGCATGCCAGAGATCCTGGATATGTGAGCTCCTCACTTTGACACTTCACAATTGTCATAAAAAAACAAAGATGATCAGTCAACCAACATTTGATCCGTTGGTTTAGGATAGATCAGCTATTGGCATGTCTGCCTTAAAAAGAATTGTTGGGACCAGAGCTGCTTTCATACTAATCTCAAGAGTCCATCTGCCCATCCTTCCATAAAATCAGTAAATATTCTAATCTCATAAAAAGTTTCAATATAAAGTAGATTATTTATTTCACCCACCTGTAACCGTGAGGCATGTCTGCCCCTGTTTAGAACCAGAAGGATGCAGATCAAAGATGCAGGTGTAGCAGCCTTCATCGCGGAAGCTCACCCGATGAATAGTGATGGTTGAGTTGTCCTTGGGAGAGGGGGCAAGCTCCACGTGCTGCTGACCACTCACTGTGTCTTTGTTGCCTGGCTGGTAGGTCAGCAGGGTCTGATTCTGGACGTCCAGCCAGCGGACCTGCCTCAGGGAATCAGTGCGTTCCCTCAAAACGGCGCAGCTCAGAGTGAAGGGCTTATCAACCTGAGCCTCCAGACGGCCTTGTGTTGTTACTCTTCCTAAAACATCTACCAGTGTGAGGCACAAGACACAGTAAGCTGAAATAGTGCTATGTTTTTACAAGATGTTTTGATATGTACTCACATTGTAGCTGTTCCACCAACAGCAGGAGTAACCATATCTGCAGGCTTTTCCTCCAAGAGGTGGAGCTCATCATCTTCTTCACTGCTTGGGTGGAATAGGAGGGAAAATATTCCTGAGACTTCAGAAGCAATTACATACCAGGATTAAATAATTTTTTCAAGTAATTTGTACAAGTGATGATCCAACATGAATATACAGTAGGACCCTTAACAAGGTAACCTCATTGGACCCTAATCCCTGAGCCAATTTTGTGACTGTTGTTCGGCTGATCTCTCAACACAAATCCACCCTTTTTTACACAGGTTTATTTAAAGTCGGGACACCCTGGACGGGTCCCACGTACACCATAGAGACAAACAGGGCTCATTCACACTAATTTGCAGGGCGATATTAGAATCACCAGTCAATTTGATGTACATATTTCAAAGATGGTGCTCCTGGAGCCTGGAGGACACATGGAGAAATTTGATCGAGATTAGAGCCTTGAAATATGAAAGTTAACTTTTGTACTTAAGAAAGTAAAAATGTTGATCTACTTTCAATATATTATACAGTGCACATTAATAAGCTTTATGTACCAAAAGACTGAGGTTTTCCAAAACAGCCTTTTGTAATTTCACAGTACGCAAGTAAATTTTGTATGATCCAAGAGTAAAACAGAGCTAAGATTGACACATAATATAAGCTTATCTCATGGCGAGACTTTCTAATATATCTAAAATTAATAGGCTGACAATTTCCTACAGTGAGAGAGTCCATCGACTTATGACTAAAAGTTCTATCACTTACTAACTTATTTACATATGAAATTGCGGCTCTCACCTCTTGCGTCCTTTTCAAAAGGTAAAAGCCACAGCTTGAGATGCTCTACCTCTGCAACATCCCAGGCATCCTTATGAAACAGCAGTCTTTAGGCACATCATAGAGCGAGACGCTATTCTTTCCTCATCCAAATGCTTTCCACTGTGCTCACCGCGAACTCCGTGAAAACCAGTCGGCGGCAGCAATGAACGGTCAGGGGGCTGTGGGTGCGAACCTGTGGTAAACCAAAGCTTTGGTTGCTGTTTTGGGCGCCCTCAAGTGTTGATTTGTGTGCGTTGTTTATTTGATATGGGTCCAGTATCATTCTAAGTGGAAAACTATGAAGAAATGCCTATACCGATATATATTAGATATACCGGTATATATATTTATATTATAAATACGAAATATCAACAATAGAGGTTGATAAAAATAAAAAAAAGCATTCCGAAATCAAACATTGAACAAAACCTGTCTCGAATATATCTAGTTAACTTAAAAATAGTGATTATGTGGAGAAATACGGATTTAACGGTTTATGTCGTAGAAAATAACAAAAATATGTCCCTGAGAAAGCCATCTAATGAAAATTGTGTTATTTTCAAAATTGTTTCTATACATCTTTTTTTATCTTTAAACTGGCGGGGACATGTTACGCTATGATACATCCGCACAATGTCTTTAACCGTTCAATTTTTCCTATTCCCCGTTGTTTTTTGCCAGCACTTATAGACGTCATGTTCCTGCGCCGGAAGTGTTTTTTTTTTTTTTTATAAGACTCACAACAGTGACGTATTTATGAGCCGTCCGTTGACTGCGAGACAACCACTTTTAAAATGACTTGATTGGGGACCTAATATTAATATATATGCTTCACGTTCTGGCCAGGCTTTTTTATTGCTGGGTCAGAATGAACTGAAACTGACCTTGGAAGTACTACACATCGATATTTCTACACATTAAAGGTTGCTTTTTACAGACATCGTCATGTCGTTTCTTGTGGACTCAGTCATCATGTTCACCTCTCAGGTAACGAGGAGTTAGAATAGTGTACTAATCATTGCCTGTAATTATTTTATCATTGAATTATTATCATGCCATATGTTAGGCGTTATCTATATATTCCTTGTTAGTGTTGGCAGTGCGTTCTCGGAGATATGTGTGGAGTCTTTAACATGTAGGAGCTAAAAAAGCTCTTAACGCAGTCATTGATTTACACATTCATAATGATATAGCTTCCCCGATATAGTTTTGGAAAAGGGAATTTGAGAAAAAATGAGATATTCATCATTGCACAGAAGTGTCGTCTTACTTTTGCACAATATTAAGCATCAGAACTCGAGCAGTTTTTAGTTAAACCATTTGCTGAATGAAATATATCCAATATAGCATTTTTAAAACATGTAAATTTGTAAACATTTGTAAAATCAGTGCTCTCATCATTGAGATAACCGTTACTAATGAGAGACAGAGTTATTGCAATGAACTTGGAATATTTTTTTTATTCATATAAAGCTGCTTCCTCATCTCAACCCGCCCTCCTTTATTCAACACAGGTCCTGTTCTTTGGGTTTGGCTGGTTGTTCTTTATGCGGCAGCTTTTTAAAGACTATGAGGTATTCTGCAGATTATTTTGTTCTAATTTTTGTATTACAAAGTTATTGCCAAAGATGTTGTCTTATGATTTCAAAATGAAAAACACCTTGTTGTAGTTAGTTGACCTTGACTCGCGTTCTGCTTTTGCTTTTAGGTGCGGCAGTATGTTGTCCAGGTGGTGTTCTCAGTCACGTTTGCTTTTTCTTGTACCATGTTTGAACTCATTATCTTTGAGATTCTGGGTGCCTTAAGCAGCAGGTGAGTTTTTTTTCCTGAGCTATCTACCTGTGTTTTATTACTAACAGCTACTAAATGACAATAATCTTCACACTTTCCATTTAGTTCCAGGTATTTCCACTGGAAGCTGAATCTCTATGTGATTCTGCTGGTTTTGATATTTGTAGTGCCTTTCTACATTGGCTACTTTGTTGTCAGCAACATACGCTTGTGTAAGTGGCACAACTTTTGAGTAATAGAAGGAAAGTTTTGGAACCACATTTGTGATTTCTTTGTGGTATAATCGTACTCCAATAACGTTTTTTCTTTGTCTTTGTGTGTGTGCAGTGCAGAGACAAAAGCTTCTTTTTGCCTGTATGGTGTGGTTCACCTTCATGTATTTCTTCTGGAAGCTGGGGGACCCATTCCCCATCTTAAGTCCAAAACATGGTCAGTGCATGGTGCTCTCTCCATTCTGCTCTTGTCACTTCAGTGCCCATCTGTCCGGCATATTTGAAATTTTTATTTCAAAGACTGAAAACTGGTTCTTTTATCTGTTTTACCTGGAAAGCCATTTATCTTTTAAATGTGTTAAAAAAGAAAGAAAGTAAGACATCCTGTTTGTTGCGTTTTATTCAGGGATTCTTTCCATTGAGCAACTGATAAGTCGTGTTGGTGTGATTGGCGTCACTCTCATGGCTCTGCTGTCTGGGTTTGGTGCTGTCAACTGTCCCTACACCTACATGTCCTACTTCCTCAGGTAAGACCAGCTGTCGCTTTCTCTGATATCGCCCTCAGTGAGTTATTTGTATATAATTTTGACCTCATAATGACCTGGTAATCATCACTATCCTGGTGCAGGGCACTGATATTGCCATAGGGATTGGTTTTATGGAGAATGCTTTTGTTGTTTACAGGAATGTTACAGACAGTGACATTCTAGCTCTAGAGAGGCGGCTGCTGCAAACAATGGACATGATTGTCAGCAAAAAGAAACGGTAAGTTGTTTGTTTATTTTTCTCCCTCTTAAACCTTTTACTTTATCATTATTTCCTCTACTGTTTGTGAAGGATTGCTATGACGCGGAGGCAGATGTACCAGCGAGGGGAGGACCAGAACAAACAGGCAGGGTTCTGGGGCATGATCAAAAGTGTCACCTCTTCCCAAACGGGCAGTGAAAGAATCCTTTATGCTCAGATTTATTGTAACAGTAAACATTCTCCATCATTCGCCGCCTATTAACTGTTGGATTAGCAGTAGATGTTAGCCTTGACTCCTTCCGTCCAGATCTCTCTCTAATCCAGCAGGAGGTTGATGCTCTAGAGGAGTTAAGTCGGCAGCTCTTCCTTGAGACTGTAGACCTCCAATCAACCAAGGTAACTGTTTCTTTTCCGTTTTAGTTTAGCCAAAATATCTTTGCAGGTGTTCAACACACAAAATAGCAAACAAGTATTTCATGTTCCTTCCTAATTATAATCAGGAGGATTCTTCTGGCAGAGTTAGCTTTCAGTAGCCCAGGCTCGTTGTAACACACGTTAATCACCGATACGCACCATGTACTTTGCTCACATGACATAGGGAGTTTGACAGCTCTTTTAACTCAACTCTTCATCATCTTTAGGAGCGAATAGAGTATTCAAAGACATTCCAGGGAAAATACTTCAACTTCCTGGGGTACTTTTTCTCCATCTATTGTGTTTGGAAAATCTTCATGGTAAGACGTTTTGCATGATGATGCTGTCAGCTACATAATCAAATGTTAGTGTGTGCTTGTTGTTTAAGATTTTGTTGAGCTGTAACGCTTTTATAAAAAAAAAAAAAATCTTTTAAAAACCCTCTTTTAACCACAGGCCACCATAAACATAGTGTTTGATCGAGTTGGGAAGACGGATCCGGTGACAAGAGGGATTGAAATTACAGTGAACTACTTGGGCATTCAGTTCGATGTGAGGCACGCTCACACACACACACACACCTACACACACACACACACACACACACACACACACCAATGTGTTTCCTGTCACTACAGTCTGATTTTTAACATTACAATTTTATCTTCTAAACTGAACTTGTTAAAGTGATTTACAACTAATTTTCCCCTTTAAAAGATAATTGGATTCCTGTTGTGTTCTCTTTCGTGTTCCATGTTCAGCGCACCTAGTCATGCTCACATTTAGACCATTATTAAAGTTACTTCTTCATGCTGAAGCTTCAAATGCAAAAGGTAAAATTTTTTTTTTTTCTTTTGTCCTCTAATCAATGTTTTTTTCTCTTTTGTTCTCATCCAGGTAAAATTTTGGTCCCAGCACATATCATTTATTTTGGTTGGTATAATAATCGTTACGTCCATTCGAGGGTTGCTCATCACCCTAACTAAGGTAACACTATCGAATGAAATGACAATAAAAATCCTCTGGATACTTTTTTTTTTTGTACCCGTTTCAGTTTAAAGGGTTTCATATATGGATTTCATTCATTTTATTACTAAAAGCTAAAATTACAAGATCCATCCAAATTGAGTGTGTTATATTTATAAGACTGGTGTGTTTTTCTCTTAAAACATTTTCTGTTTTTTTTCCTCTCCCGTTTCTCCAAACACACTTAATATCTAGTTCTTCTATGCAATATCAAGCAGCAAGTCTTCAAACGTCATTGTGCTCGTCCTGGCTCAGATCATGGTGAGCGTGCTCCTTCACACTTGAGTTATGCCAACGAATATACAGTTTAATCTGAACAGCCATCTCTCTATGTGTTTTAATCTCCTAGGGGATGTATTTTGTGTCATCTGTTCTGCTGATGCGCATGAGCATGCCATTGGAGTACCGCTCCATTGTGACGGAGGTTCTGGGAGAGCTGCAGTTCAACTTTTACCACCGCTGGTTCGACGTCATCTTCTTGGTCAGCGCGCTGTCCAGCATCCTCTTTCTCTATCTCGCTCACAAACAGGCACCAGAAAAGCACATGGCCCTCTGACACAGCCAGGCTTTTCCTCTCTCCCTCTCTCTTTCCCATTGAATTAACTTCTGATGGACTTTTAATCTGGATCCGAGCGATATCCAGAAATCACTTTTTCTTTTTTTTTACACATATTCCTGAATCAGGAACAGCAACGTTTTGGGTGCACGTTTTTGGAAATATGAGAAAGCTTAAAAAGGACTCGAGAAAAAAAAAGGAACAAAGTGAAACATTGAAGTTAATTTTTCCCAGAATTGCAAACAAACCTGTTGGATTTTTTCCTTTTTGCTAAAATCTTAATTTCATTTTTGTCTAAACACACTGGAGCTGACGTGTTCCCCGCAAATCTCTTCTTCACCCTCAAATACATAGAAAATATACAAATTCCTTGTGTGATCTGCATTTTTAACTGTTCAGATATGTAAATTACTTTGAAATGAAAACAGAAACTTATAAAGTTGGACTTAATTGAAATGTGTTTATTTTTTCATGAAATGTTTCATTTCAAAAGTGGAAACAGTGTTTTTTCAAAGCATTAAATAAAGGCATCAGATTGCGCAGAGAGAAACTCAAACTTGAAACACTGCTGTGTTCCCGGGAATGTAGATAGCAATTTTGTTGTTGCCTCAGATTCTGCTCATCAAGAAAATCGCAGGATTTCTGATCACATGTTTCGGAACAATCAGTGTTTCGAGGCACATTTTCCCTTTTCAGCTCAAAAGGCAGCCAATTTGCAATCAATCAGATTTGACGAGTTTCAAAGATCTCTGCTCTCCTCGTTCAGTGGTTTCACACATTTTTTCCCGAACCGTTGATTCCGCCTCGTGTGAAGCTCACAGAGCACATCGTTAGGTGGGAAGCAAAAAGAAAACAGATCAATATCAGGTTTGCGCAAATCAGGAACGGTGTTCTTCTGGTGATTTCTCAGAGCTTCTCATCAAGGCTTCCTGCAGATGAAGATGATGACACAGATGGAGTCTGAAAAAGAGAGGGGGAGAAAAAGCATTGTCGGTTTTGTTTGTTTCTCCAGGCCCCATGGTGCAGTGAAGGGAAGTCATGGGTTGTGTTGTAAAAGTGTAAAAGCGATAAGAGTCTGTGCTTGGGTGTCTTACATGAGCCCAGAGCAGCTTTTTAAACATCCCAGTATAGGAAGCAGAACACATTCATTTCTACAGAGCAAACTTCAGAGTGGAACATAGGTTTTTTAAAAACATTTTAGGTCAGGACTCAGTGGCCCATCTGTATATTCTGGAAAGTGGAAACACAGCAGCCATTCGGATGGGAAAATGGGTCAGATACTCGTGACATTAACAACTCTAGAGGTTCAAATGTCCCAGCAACACCACACAGCAAAAGAAGCCCTTCAGGTTAGTGACTTTCCTATCTATCTATCTATCTATCTATCTATCTATCTATCTATCTATCTATCTATCTATCTATCTATCTATCTATCTATCTATCTATCTATCTATCTATCTATCTATCTATCTATGTACTTATTCGATTTTTTAAATCTCAATGATATGGATAGACAAATAATATGATCTATTCTAGAAAGAACATAAACATCTTAAAATAAAGTGCAGGCCGTTAAAAAAAAACTAAACTTATGGGAGCCTGTTCTGCGGGCCCCACATCAATGATGCAATTTATGAACTCTTTTAACTACATTCATTATCTAGGACTGCTATATCTAGTGCTTCAGAGTCATATCTTGCAAACACCCATAGTTAATGATGCACCGCTTCACAGAAAATGGGTGGGGTAGATAGTTAGTTGAAATAATCTTCAATGGACCAGGTTGAGAATCAGCAGTTATATAATGGAAGGACTGCTTTTGCTATAGAAGAAAAAATAAACTATGACTTTAGTCAACTGGAGTTATTCTCCAGGGACTACATCTCTAGATCAAAAATGAAATTTTGTCATTTGCAAAAGGTAGACTGACAGTCACCTCGAGTTAAAGAAAAAGTTAGCTGTGAGGAGTTAAACAACAGAACGCACCCTTTGTCTCTCCTGTGTGGTGGGGGTTTCAGGTCTGGCCTCCTCCCGTGTCTCCTCCATGGTTTCTGGTTTCCCGGCAGTGCGGTCGTGACTCTTGGACGTCTCACCCAGCAGAAAGGTTGTGATGGTCACTCCTTTAGCTTTCAGTTGTTCATAGACATTCTTGCTGCACACCAGCATCTCCAGAGAGTTGCCGCTTCTGCGGATCATGCCCACCACCTCCTCGTGGGTGCTCTGCTCCACGTTCAGGCCGTTGACCTCCACCACGATGTCGTCATCCTCCAGACCGGCTCTGTCAGCCACTCCGCCCTTCACCACCTGGAGCAGGAGATGTCTTACGGCTTGGTTTTTAAATAGTCATCATCCGAGATTTGACAATTCTTAGTGATCCTACCTCCTTGATGTACTGACCACAGACACCCTGAATGCCATTTAGATGGAAGCCAAAGCCAGCTGCAGTCTTCTCCATCTTACACAGCTTCGGCCTCAGCTCCTCTTCGCGCTTTTCAACAGGTGTGGCTGGTCGAATGGGGACTGGGGCGTTCACAGCCTCGATGTAACTGGGTGGTGAGTTGGAATCCTTCATCTCATCCCAGTAAAGCATAGGGCACACTTTCGCCTGCAGGGCAGCCAACCAAATGCCTTCATATACTCTACATCGATCTGAGGCCAGACACTCGGTGACTGAAGCTCACCTGCTGATATATTTGGTCTGTGGTTTTGTCCACCACAAGGAGGCAGCATTTGTCCCCACTTTGCTTGATCCTGTCAACAACCTGCTCGTGGCTGCAACCGTCGAGATGGTTTCCATTCACAGCAACCACTCTGTCCAGTTCCTTCAAACCAGCTCTTTCTGCTGGGCTGGCTCTGTCTATGTCCCTTATGAAGTGTCCTGCATGGAATCAAGGGGGACATTATCAAACCACAGCCAGGGGTTCAATAACACACAGCCATGAAGAACATGGGGTTGTCATGGCCCTACCTGCTTGGTTGGGTTCCTCCCTGAGCACAAAGCCGTAACCATCAGGTCTTTTGGTCATTTCAATGATGCGTGGTTTGTGAGGGAGATGCTTGGTTGTTGCTAACCACGCTCCAATCTTGGCATTTTTTCTCTTATAAAACATGTATGTTTCCTCATCCACCAGCAGGAGCACGATGCTGCTGCCCAACTGTCTGATTTTTGCCACCACCCGATCGTGCGTGTGGTCTTCCACGTTCTCCCCGTTGATCTCCAGCAGGCGGTCGTTGTCTCTGACACCTGCTTTGTGAGCTACTCCTCCCGAAGTCACATCCGTCATGAAGAAACCGGTCTCGCCTGGCAATAAGAGCAAAAACATATGTGTACAAGTGAAAAATACATGTAGAATTTCAACATATGCGCTTAGGCTACACCATAGCCAGTTCTTTTATGAACTTCCCCAGAAGCTATCATTTACATTTTTCTAATTTAAATATTCATTCATCAGACAATTTACATTGTTGTCATTTGGAATATTTTTAACTGTTTATTCCTTTTCTGCATTACATTTGTGTAGTCTTCCTTGTTATTTCAGTTAGGCATTTTACTTCTGATCCCAACAGGGATACTGGCTGCAGTTCTCATTATCCAGATGGACTCCAATTATGAGATATCTTACAAGAGCTTTTCTGATAACGATGGATTATCATATAAATTACAGTCGCATCTGGTCAAACCTCTAGACACACCCAATTCTCATGGGACTGTTTGATCATAATCACAAGTGTGCTCTGTGGCGTGTTTCCCCACCACAGCAGTATGGTAACAAAACAACCAAAGCAACACCTATGGCTGTCTTTTTTATCCTCTTTTCAAAGACAAAAAAATAGATACTGAATAATTACTGGGAACTGACACACAAGCAGTGTTTACTAGAATGTAAAGACAGAAAAAATTTATAGTATTTTTTAATCTATGGATGTAGAATTACAGGCATGACTTTTGGATTAGGTTAGTGTTTAATACTGGATTTCCTTAAAATAGACTCCTCATGATATTAATTGTGTCAACTTTATCTTTGTCCAGCCCACACAGGAATAGGTCCTACTCCAGCTGTAATAGCAGGCACGTAATGCCACCAGCTAAAAATAACACATACTATTTGTACCTATCTAATAGAATCAGTTTCAGGTTTAGTTTTCTTTTTTGAATAGTTTAAAGGGGAAAAAACTGTTAATCATAAAGATAATGATGTGAAACTGAAAAGGCAACTTTCTTTGCTGACGGTGGTCCCATGAAAATCCAGATCTGTTCCACGCTTCCAGATGTTGCCCTTATGAATGACTAATGTCCCTCGTCCCAGAGACATCGCAATGTAGCATCATTACACGCTCTGTTAACGAGTCTGTCTTTCTAAAATAAATCATCCCCATGACTCATTTTCCCACGTACGCCACTATGACCAAAGAACATTCAACCTCATGTGAAGATGGCAGCAAGTGTACGAGAACGAGAAACTAGTTTGAAAAGATGGAATGTGTTTACATTTCAACAAAAGTGGTTTTCTAGCTGCAACCCTCATTTATAACAAAGTGATGTTTTTGCCAAAACTCAATCCGGCAGTGACAAAAGTTTCATCGTTGCATACAGTAATTCTCGAATCCAGGCAACCCACAAAAGGGCGTAAAGTATGAATAGTATGATTTAACCAGTAATGTGTTATGATGTTTATGCTTAAAAATAAAATAAAAAATAAAAAATAAAGTCATATTTTTAAAGTTAAAGATAATGTTGAAACACTAACGTCTTTTCTTTTTCTGTAATTTTTTGTTTGTATTTGTTGTATTTCAGTTTTAATAATCAGTTCCCAAACCTCGGTTTCATCTTACCTATAACAGAGCGAAGAGAAAACTCATAGCCTGAGCTAGATTTGACCAAGTAGCAGAGTTTTGGTTTCAGAGCCCCTTTGGCCATTCCGTTGGCAACCGGTTTGCTCTGAGGATCGGAGAGGTTCACTCCCTGTGCTTTGGCACGCTTGTAAGACGATTCATCCAGAACATGGAATGTGACTGACGTTCCACTATCTCTCACCATTTCTACTACCTGCAAAAAGGAAGGTGAAAGGAAAGATATTGTGACAGGGTTATTTCAACGGGCAAGGAGCCTTTATCGATGCACAGAGGTGATATCACATCCTGTGCACCTCAGAATGGGACAGTCCATCAACAAATGTTCCATTGACACGCAGGACTCGGTCTCCATCCTTCATGCCAGCTAGTTCAGCTGGACCTCCCATTTCCAGGCAGCGGATCAGGTGACCTTCCTCGCTCTGCTCCACCCTCAGATAAAAGCCAAAAGTCTGTCCTGGCTTTTTGGTCAGAGAAATCACCCTTGGTTTGTACATGGCCATTTCTCTAAGAGAGGGTAAAAAGCACTTTCAAATAAGTCACAAAGGACAACTCCTTACTAACAATATCTAACACCTCTCATGCCATGGTACCGTGAATAGACATGTCTTACAAATATAGCCTTCTAATTGAGTATAACTGCTGGTGCCCTAACAACAGTAAGATAATTGTTACGTTTTTAAGATTTAAAAAAGAAAAGAATCAGTAAAGGAACAACATATGTGCTGATGGTCTCAGATGAGAGATTAATCTTCCAGGACTTTTCTACAGTGGAGGTTAATGGTTAATAGTAGACACAGCTGACTGTAGATCATAAAAAAAAAACAATTACACAGACTTTGAATGCCTAATTTCTATGGATTGTCGGAGCAATTTTCCACTTGAATTATTATTGCTGAACAGGAGGGTCACAGAGAACATGTCCTGATGACTGCTTATCCTAAATGAGCTTATTAAGCCTTAGACTGCCCCTACACAGACTCAAAAGAAGATGTTTAATGACTATGTTTAGACTATGTCTAAAGGTATCATCAATTAAAAATGGAGCACCTCCTGATGTCTCACATTTCTATTACACAGATGTGATGCTGTGTTTCAATCACAGGCGTTTTTTCCACCAAAATGCAATTCTCTTTTTAATATATTCTTATCTTTTAATACTTTAGAAATATGATTAGAATTTCAAATATTTAGAATTGTTTTAAAATTCCAATCAAGGGTCATTTCAGATATTCTCATAAGATCAGTGTCAATATATCAAGACCCTAGAGATGACATAAATACTATCCTGTAATAAAAATCCAGTTTCAATAAAATGTTTCATGCATAGTAGATAAGTGGTAATATATGAATTTATTTATGAACTCATGCACTATGACTGTTGGTTATATTAATTTTAGGTGTGCTCTTTTTCAGTATGACCAAAGACTTGAGTTTTTTCTTTTTAAATGAAATAGAAAAGTCTAACTGCATCCCTTTGCTTCCTTTTGTGCCTTCATTTATTCTAAAAGGTGTTAAAGATGAGGTCAGTTGAATTATCCTGTCATTTACCTCAGTTTCTGGAAAAAGGTTGAATAAAAAATAAAATGAACAAAAGCAAACAAAACACATTCTTTGCATTTTCCCCATTTTTTTCAATTTATCAGGTGTCAGAATCTTTAAATCCTAAATGGATCTTTACTTTACTTTAATCTTGATGAAAACAAGATACATATTAATTAGACTGACGGTGCAGAAATGAGTTCACTTACCTGCTCGTCTCAAGCTCAGTGTCCAAGTCTAAAGAGAGAGTTCACCTGTCACTGATTAGCTGTTTTTGTGTCTTCATCCTGAGTCCCTCCCTCCCCTTTTGCTATGTGCAGGGACTTTGACGGGCCAAAGGTGAGCCTAAAGGCTGAGTTATTTAACAATGTCCCGTGTCATGAATGTGTGGGGAGGCGATGGTTTGGTGCAATCTGTTCTCAGAGGTTGTGTACTCATCCATTTAGAGACCAAAGGTACATGATGCAGGGGGCAATTAAGCATTCACATCACAGCCAGTATCAAAAGAGATGCATCTTGTTTATATATCATTTGATACACCTTAAACAGTTAACATGAGAATTGTTTACTTAAAAAATAAACTCTCTATCTATACTAAGGAAATTACTGATCTCTGTGATATTTACCTTGCCTTACCTGTTTAATTCAGCAGCCAAGTTCCACTGACAATAATTATTGATAATTTCTGTTGTAATTTTGGTCATAATTTATGGTCACTCAAGTCCCAATTTGTAATAGAGTAATTAAAGCAGCACTTTGGTCGAACATGGGTTGTTTTTCATTGCTGTACAAATAAACATGGCATGGCATGAAGAACCCAACTTGGCAGCAGAAATAACCATGTATGTGTATATATTGTATTATATTACTATACAATGAATAATTTGTGATACTCTAGAGACAATCCAACAGTGATAGTTAGAAATCTTTTCATTAAGTTTAAATCATACGAGTCAGTTTCTCACATTTTCTCTTTTAACACACTTACACCTTATAGTTTCCCCTCCATCAATATGATAAGTAAAAAAAAAAAAAAAATTTCAAATTGAGAATAACACTAAGAGTCCAGTCTGAGCTTGGGTGTAGTCTATCAGGTTTATGGTTACTGTAACAGTGGAGTTATCAAAAGCTGAAACTATCGTCCTTGAGATGGGACAAGGGTTATAAAATCTGAAGCTGAGCCAAGTAAAGCAGCTCTGCTAACTATAAAAGTTAATGCATCACTGCGCTGATGTATTCTTTTTTTTCTGACTCCACTCATGATCTGTACTTGGATTCAGCTTTGATCTCATCTTTCCTCACAATCCAGGGACGTTATAAACTAGGCACAGTTTTGATCTACTCAGTGAAACAACTTAACTAAAAACTTTGAAAAGATGGCTGTTCAGTGGAACAGCATATCTCAAGATTTGTTTTCTTAATTTCTTAATAACTATCCTTATTTCATGCATGCATGTCATTCCACTTTCAGAAGCTGTATTTTTCTTCTCTAAACAGTGACAAAGCATGTGTTTAAAATGTGTGTTACAAATGTTTGTTTGTAAAGCAATTTAATATACAGTATTAGATATTTTTAATTACATTTATTTGTGACTTAACAGAATAAACCCTTTTACATTAAATTTGTCCTTTAATTTAAATGATTGACAAGGAATGGAAAGACAGCTTCATTTTTTCCAGAATGGACTTCTTCATGTTTTCAAATAAACAATAAGAATTACGAGACATTCTGGTTCGACTATTAATACTCTTAATACTCATTCTTAGTATTCTTAATACTCAATATGATTAAAAATTCTAAATGAATTAGAATTTATCACAGAGCTTTCAAGAAGTTAGGATAACTGTTGTAAAAATACCACTATATCAAAATTTTAGAACTAAAACGCATTCAGTGTGAGACCTAATAGAAATGTTAAAACATAAAACCTTTTAATCGATAATGTGACCTTGTCTTAGTTGCCCATTATCTTTTTTCCTCCTTTTTTGGCACTCTACTTCCTTTTACAGCACATTATCACCAGCAGCTGTAATGCATATTGACAGATGTGTTCAACTATTGGTGGAAAGATGTATGACATCCATTACTCTCCTTCCGGGCATCCACTGGGCCTCAGCAGCCTCCAAGAATGTATATCACATTACCCCTGTTCTCTTTGTATATATGCTGGAGAACTGCAGACACAAACATTACAAGAACGTCCTCATTAAACATCACTTAACCGCACTTACCTTGAAGGAAAAAGTCAATTGTTAAAATTTATTACATTCCAGCTCTTGTACAGACAACAATGACATAATGCACCTCCACATAGTTTTCAGTTTAAAAAAAAAAAAGAACATTTGTTCTCCTACAAGAAACCTACCCATATCAGTAAATTGGAGTAAAAAGTATAATTTTCCCTTGAGATAAAAAAGCAAAGATGGTGTACAACACATTTCTGATAAATAAATCTAAACGTCTAAACAACTACATATAGTAAAAAGACAATACTTTAAATAGTTACAATTAAAAAGGATCATTATTACCAGTATATTATGCTATTTATTTCTCTTTTGAAAGTCGGTTAATTGCTTTAAATTTGTAGGACGAATGCTTAGCTTCTTCCTGAATGGAGGACATTTTGTTGTAATGCGTACAAAACATAATTAGGCATATGCTTCCTGAAATAATCAAGACTTTCCTCTCATAAAACAACTAATTGCAGCAGATATTGCTCCAAAACCTGCGTATGTCCTTGAGCTTTAGTGGTGCTCTCACAGACACATAAATGACCTTTTCCTACTACACTGATGCAGAATTACCATCCTGGATGCTGGGTTGAACTGTTTAATGATAATGTGCAAGGTAGATGCTGAGATGAACATTGACTGCAAAAATAACATGTTTAGATTACTCAGACCACAAGACCGGTGTCCATTTTGTGTCGGCCCACCTGCTGTCATGCACTGGGGTCAAATACTCCCAATTTCTGCCACCTACTGGTGTCTATGACATCAAAAAGTGTCCTGCTGTGATGATTAGCTACTGCCCTGGCTGTCAGAAAACACAGCAAACATCATTCTGGAATGTTGACCTTTCAAAGGCCTTTTTTTGTTGACTGCAAGAGAAAAGTGACACCCCAATTGGGTGAAATGTATACTACAGTTGATAAACTGTTTAACATGAATAAGAATAGAGATTCATTCTAATCAGAACTTGCAAAGTCAAATATTTACTTTACTTTTCAGAGGCAGGCCAAATTGAAATCAATGATAAACATGCAACTCTTGTTTCCTGTAACAAGAAGCTTCTGGGACTTAAATAACCATTTATATGTATTAAAACATAGTCGCTCATGCACCTTGCAGCTTGCAAAGAAACACTGAGCAAAATCTACTATTCTAGTGGGTTTTTCTAAAGTTGTGTCACGTAATTGAATAATTAATGCTGCATTACTGAAGCTGCAAGTGTTAAGTCTGATCCTGTCCTTAGATATACAGGCACAACCCGAAATAAATGTGACTTGCATTGTACATTATTTAAAACCCAGTGTGCTGCAGAGAAAAACATGGTGACATTTTACAGTAATTTGCACTTATGAATGCACTGACAGGCTGTCCACACTGATGTGATTTTCACCTGTGTGTTCTGAATGACTTTTAATACAGTCTGATGCCTTAAAAATCATTACAACTCCACTAGTTGTGCACTTTCCTAGAAGAGTTTTGATGACATTTTGAAAACAGTGTGAACCATAGTCATTAAATCCCCAAAGTTTTTGTAATTTTACATTACATGTTTGTAATGTGACCAAATATTTCAAGATACCAGACAAAAAAAGTTTAATGTAAAATTCTTACTTTTTACATTAGACCTTGAATGTTTTTTGTTTTTATTTCTTTAATATTCAATTAATGTCAATGTCAAATTTGTCAATGTCAAATTTATTTATATAGCACTTTAAAACAGGCATAGAACTGCACCAAAGTGCTGTACAATAATGACAACAACACAAATGAATAAAACAAGGTATCAAACTAATTCAATTAAATGCCAAGGAATAAAAATGAGTTTTAAGAAGCGATTTAAAATGATCCAGGCTGTGGGCAGATCTAATTTGGAAGGGTAGATCATTCCAAAGAGAAGGAGCAACAGGAAAACAGCAAATTAAGGAAATTAATAAATGCAATCACTAGATTTTTGTTTATGATAAGACAAAAATGATTGTGAAGTGCTGTTGTTAAAACTGTTTTCTTGATAATTAAATGACATAGTATAATAATTATCGAAGTGATTAGAAACAAAAATAATAACGAAACAGACTCTGCAACATTACAGTTTAACTTTTTTTTTTACAGTTTCGCTTTATGTACGTGTGGACCAGGAGCTTATGGGCTGTTATGGTGTTGACATACTGAGCATCCCCATTACGAAACACACTTATAACGCCAACCCTGCAGCCTCATGTATGCTACTGCTTTGGAGCTGTTTGAGCAATCGATCCCAGAGGTCCAGGAGCCACAGGCAGAGAGATGAGTAGATGGAGACAGAAATCCTCTTCAGCTTGGCTTAGCACTAATGCATTTACTATCCATTACCTGCAGTCATCACCTTTTGTTTAATGTCTTTGTGCAACGCTGTCTGCCTACGTTGATGAGCCCTCTTGAGCTGTAGCTGTCGATTTGATCCAAAACCATAACCGTTTTAAGGGTCTTTACAAAGTTGACAACAAAGTACGGATACACGAAAGGATCAGAAGATAAAGAAATGAGATGTGAAGTATGACCCCAGAGGTGATCGCATCCAACATGTGCTCATCAGCAGTGTAGCATCAGTAATCAACGTGTCATGCCAGTTTGCGATTACCACACTCAACAGGGAGTACTAGTCTCTCCTCATCTTGATTGGCATCCTCACATGGCTTGTTTATCTGGGGTAGGAAGCTCCGCACATGATCTGCCGAAGCCACTTAGACCAGGGGAGAAATTGGAAAGGATATGCTTGAAATAATGGCCAAATTTGTTTCCTTCTTTCCTTTTTGGAGCGAATCATTAGGATGTTTAGAGACCTAGCAGATGCTTCCTGCTCTCCACAGGAACTATCATGCCTCAAGCAGAAGTGACGTTTAAAGCCTCTCAAGTGTACAGGTGGCAGGGAGGAGTCAGTCTATCTGTTGCTGTATTAAAAAAAAGTAAATAAACATATGGTCCTTCAATTTGCGTTACCTCCTGAAAGTCTGAGGCTGGCTAACACCTTCACATCTGCTATAAAAATGTCACGTTTATACCTTTAATCATGACTCACATGGATGTCTTCTAAATATCTAAAAATGGATGAAACGAAAATTTGCTTATATTTAATGGAACTAGGAAACGATTGTATGGAGGAGAATACAGGGATAGACGTCTCTAATATAAGAGCAAAACCACAGAGCACAGTAGCTTGGGCTTTGTGCAGAGAACTCATGAAAGAAGAATAACGAATACATTAATATCACAGTTGAACTTCCTGATAGTTTTGTTATATGCTTTTATCTGTTAAGTGGGATTAAGCACAGCTAAATGTTCATGCTGATATCAGAACAGAGCATTCTGAATCACTGACTGTGCTACCAAAGCTGATTGGTAGGTTGTCACCCACTACCTTTATTTAAACTTTGTCATTTTATTTATCATTATTTTTTAATCAACATCAAGATGACATTTTTGTCAGTTGTTTTTGAGAGGCAACTTGATTGACTTTTTTGGAGGTGGTTTTCCAAGATCTGCCTTTAAATTTACCTCTACATAAAGCTATTCAAGAGCAACTGCAGCTGATAAATTTAAAAAAAAAGAAGCTTTGACTACAGGTTAAAAAAAACAAGTCAGACTGAGCATATCACAACATCCATTAAATGTTGCTGAGGGAGCAATTAAATGAGTAATCAGACAGCTAGATGACAGCTTTACAAGAACAGTCAGGGGTCTGATTTTCAGCAGGGTGAAAATCCCGAAACAGGGTTGCTGATGGATGAGACTGATGCACAGGTATTTATTTTTTTAAAGCTGTGGGGCATTTCTGCCAGTCAAAGCTCTGCCTGTGCCAGTAATATAATTAGTCTGTTAAAAGAGCATTGCAGGGGTCACAGAGGACTTTGATAATGCTCAGAGAGAATAATCTTATCAGACAAAGATTCACGATTTATTTAAGGTCCAATACCAAGGTTTGGCTCATCGACGCAGAGGTAGTGCGCCACGTGGGGGTGACAGTGAGCTTGTGAAACAGCTTCACCAGGTTTGAGGTTGGGGCGTCGCATCAGCACCGTTTCTGTAAGGTGGAAACCTTCCTGCTGTTAATTCAATTAGCAAACGACAGCATGAGACACAAATCAAGCCGCTGCTGGCACGGGAGAAAATGATTATAAAAACGCCTCAAGCAAGATGTGTGCTCTAATGTAATTGTCTCCAGCTTTTACAAGTCCTAAAAGTTGAGCAGATGAATCTTAAACGTTGGTTTGGCCCTTTTCGGACACGGCCTGACCATTTTTTGACTCGGATGCAACCTAACTTGACAGACCGACCTTGATGCTGTTTGCTTTATGTTTTTAATTTTAATCGTTTTAATATAGCCATTAATTATATGGGTTAGCTACGTTTTGAATTGAAAATAAAACCACGGTGAAAACAAAGCAGACTCGCGAGGATGTGAAATTAAATGAGATGCAATAAACATCAGGATACCTCACATTTGTCATATAGCGTTTTCATTAAGAGACTGGTGGGTGGTAACCACAACTCCGCCTGCTTTTCTCTCGCTCTTTTTTTTTTCAATTCTGTGTCTCCCCGTCATCATAAGCTCAAAACACACCCTTCATGACTTTAGAGCTCCACTCTCTACGTTCATTCGCTCTCTGGATGCTGGTCTTTTGGCAAAAGCGCAGCAGCGCGCCGCGCTCCTTCCCTCCCTCCGTGCGCACAGACCCATGAGGACCGACTGATGCTAAACAGGGTGCAACCAGAGTAACAAAAGGCCGGAAAAGTCAACCGAGGAAAGTAAGTTACATTTAGGTCCTAAGACTGAGCAGGTGAGATGGGCTGTAGATGCAGAATCGAGTTATTGTACCACTTTGGAGGGTGGAACAACTAACTGAAGGTTGATGCGAACGTTTTGCAGTAGGCTGCACAGCATTACCTTACTTTAGAAACTTGAAATCAAAGACATGGATCTCCGTGAGCAAAATGAAACATCTGTAAACCCGGAGTGCATCGGAGTGCTGGGTGATGCGCTTCAGAACGGAGCCGGTGACGGGAGCCTGGAGACCAACATCTCCTGCGGAAACGCGTCCACCATGCACACGCCACCGCGCGCAAGAGGTAAGGCTTCTAAAACAAACACTCCCCTAACCAAAGTGCAATTCAATTGTGTTTTAAGGGTCAATCCAAGCAACCCATAAAATAAAATAAAGAATATGTTAACATGTTTGGACATGTTAAGTTGTAAAGGCTGCTCGATGCAAAATGAGACTGAGCTGGATTGCAGCTATTACCCCTAGAAATGTAAAAAAAAAAGAAAAAAAAAGAAAGAAAGAAAAAAGAAGAAAAAAGAAGAAAAAATAAAATAAAAAGATAGAGTATGCAAAAGTGGATTGACCCTTTGTTTGTATGAAGAGTTTTGTTACATTTCCCAGTATTTTTCTAATTTCAGTTAAAAATGGGAATGCCAAGTGTGCTGGCTTTTTTTTTAAAACGGAAAAGTCAAATATATGTATGTATACATTATTATTATAGTAATAGAATTCCAAAACTGTGGGCTTTTGCTAATCCTAATAGATATGGATTTCCAAAAATGTACAACATTTTACAACCTCAGGTAGACCTCCCTGAGCTTATGAACAAAAACAGGTAAAGAAAAGAGTCATCTGTCATGTAATTTTCTCTCAGTCCTATCTTCACCCCCTACGTTTTCAATCAGCACGTGTTATTTTCATCTTCAGCTGTGTGTCAGTGTTTCCACATCTTGATGACTTGCACATGCTACATGTGTGCAAAAGACAAAGTAGAGACTGAGCACCTGATTGAAGAGGACTGTTGACTATCAATATTCTAAACAAGAGAGGTTTTTTACATTGTTGTAATGTTCAAGAACTATTGTATTTAGTTCTTAATTCAAACTCCTATCCCTTTCATTTCTCCTTACAGTTATAATTACACATTGTCAGCTCTCAATTGTAACAGTTACAAAACGAAACATTGTAGACACCTTCACCCTGTCCTATCAAAGGGGTCCTTTGGCTTTTGGTGGCTATAAGTAAATGGATAAGTTTAAGTAAATCACTCTTGTGATTCTTTATTCTATAATATAGACATTGATAGGATACCAGATGGATCCTAGTTAAAATCCTGGTAGCCTTTCTGTGTGGAGTTCGATATGTTCTCCCAGTGTATGCTGGAGTTCTCTCTGGCTTCTTCCAACCATCCAAAACATGCATGTTGAGTTAATTGGTGACTCTGAATCGACCTTACGAGCGACTCTGCGCCTTCACGGTTGTTTGTCGCCGTGTGGCCCTGTGATGGACCAGGAAACTGCCCAGAGTGTAGTCCATCTGTCGCCCAGTGGCAGCTGAAATGGGCTCCCGTCTCCATGCCACCCTGAACTGGATTAAGTTTGTCCAGAAAATGGATGGATGTTTACCGCAAGTGTTATATTTATGCATCCATTTGCTACGTTCACTTATTCCCAGAATGTTTCACTGGGGACTTGAGCCTATCACAACTGTCATTGGGCAAGAGGGAGGGTACACTTTGATGGAGAGAGATAGAGAAAGAGAGAGTGGTGTGCTATACATTGATTTAATTTTTTTTTAAAAATATGATAATAGGGAATTCCATGTTTCTTCCTTTTGTCACTTAACCGAAAAAAGAAGTAAACTGTGTGTGATATACAAGTATGACTCAACGCTGCTGGTTTAAGATCAGAAAGAAGTTTGCATTAAGCTTCAGCGCAAAGTTTTGTGGCGCAAAACTACATATAGAATAATTTCCTTCCTCAGACCTCAGTTTCTTTTAGATTAAATCATCATATTTTTCAGAACTGACTGAATTTTTGTGAGGGTAAGAAAAAAATCAAATCACGCGAAGCATCTTCACTGCGTTATGATTTTGAAGGCTCTGTCTGAAAAAAAAAATTCTTAGAAAATAACCCCCGGCTGTAGAAGTGTACTTGATAATAGTTCCATCATATCCATCAAGTCCATCTGGGGTCATCATCTAAAGAGAATAATTTAATATGTCAGAACCTTGGCAGCTCCTGTCACCGCCATTACTTATGCCATCACTCCAAAAGTTTGATTCATTTTCATGTTTCATGTACTTCTCTCTGTCACACCACCCCTCGCTCAGTTTATGACTGAGTTGTGTCACTGTCACTCTGGTCGGGGCAGCTAAACTAACATTTCTATATACACGGGACATGGAAGCATAAACCAAGGACACAACCATTCTTTCCCTCAAGTGACTTGATTTTCACAAATGTATTGATTTGATTTGGGTGGAAATACTTTCCAAAGAGTACAATACCTTGGCTGAGAGAAAAGCTTTGTGAGAGTTTTTTCAGAATTTGCAATGTTTGTTTGTACCTTGCAAAACCAGATGAGTCATCCTTTGTTGCAAAAAGTTTTTTTTTTTTTTACAAAGATTTGTCTTTTTTTTAATTCATGAAATAATGCAACCATCTATATGCAGCTGCCCCCTCAGATGCAGCCACCAATTGGAACAAACACATTTCAGGGGGAGGCTTTCAGCTCATATGTACATATGTTTTTCAAACAATTAAAACAAAATTACATTTTAGACACCTAAGATGTGGTTTATTAAAAAAACATAAAAACAGGAACAGACAAAAGAAACAGAAAGAAACATGTAAACCTCTAAAGCTTTTGTTTCCCTGGATGAAATGTGTTTAACAGCCCAGCTGCTTTAACAATAAGCTCTTTTAAAAAGTGATCTTGGCATCAGCAACTCAAAGTTTAAGTTTGATGCATTTTTTTATTTCTTTTAATTTCTGTCTGACCAGTCTCATCTAGCTGGTGCACAGTTTGCTCCACTCCTCAGCAAACCACAATAACTATCACTTGGTAAATGATGGTAAATCTTGTTCATCGGACCCTTTCTGATGTAATTTAAGATTTTTTAATTTTCTTTTGCAATTTTGTGATTTGTGAAAGAAAGTGTATTTTCTTTTTACCATTATTGGACTAGTGTCCAATAATGGTAAAAGGAAAATACACTTATTATAAATACACTATTATAACAAGTCACTATTCAGCTTTGTTTAAAGAAGATGACATATTATAGCATAACATGATGAACACAGAAATGTTCAGTCTCTAAAGGGAGTAACCCAACAGTTTTAGATCTGTAAATCTGTTATCTCAAAGCAATTAAGTACAGAGAAGATAATCAATTACTTGTCGGCTTCTCGTAATCGTGTTATTTTCACTCACTTGTTGAGAGCCATGGTGTTAAAGTATGGTTGCCCGTCGGGCTGAAAAACGAGCGTGCTGTGGAAGCTGGTCACTCTGACCACAGTCTCTGTGGGCTGTGTGTTGTTTTGGCTGGAAGGAGGTTTCATTCATTGCCTCTGTCACCTGTTCCATGCCACGGCGCGTCTGGAGTTGGGATGCGGCTCAGATGACATTTACCATTCTGGATTAGACTCTTGCTGTGACATTTACCAACACCTTGGTCCTACAGGAGCTCTGCACTGCCGCTGGGTTTTTTTTTCATAGGCGCAGCGCAAAAAAAGGCTGGCGGGGTAAGAGGTGACAGAAGCCCCATATGTTTCAGAAAGGGATGCAGGAGCGGGGGTTAATTCATAGTCATTCTGAAGCCATGCAAAGAGATTAAATGCAAAAAAACAAATTAAAGCTAAAATATTCATGTTTGAAATAGGAACCTCACTAATTTGTCAACAATTTGACTGCATGCCTTTTAAGAAACTGTCCTTTAAACATTTCCTTTGGCTCATTTGGATTTCTTTTGTGCAATCTGTTGCACTTTCTTTCATCAACACTGGAGTTTTTGCTCAAATGCATTTATGATGAGCCATTAGCAATTTAATTAAATCTTATTTATGTATTGCAGAGATAACACAGAAAATTGGCTCAGAGACTGCTGAAAAGGCTGAAAAAGACTGGTTGAGCTGGGTACAAAAAAACCTTTCTGATAGGTAGAGCCTCTTCAAATAAATTTCAATTTGCAATAAACTTGAAACTTAATTTAGGTGTGATAGAAGTTTATTTACTGGCTGAACGAACAAAAAAGCGTAACACAGATAGAAATGGAAGGGGATGTAAAACGTTAGCGGGATAAGTTGCCACAGTCACAGCTGCTGTGCTGCTGATATAGTTGTCATAGTTTAAAGTATAATTTCCGCTAAAGTTTGAGGGGGGTCCGTTTAATCCTCTCTCGTCAATTAGTTTTCTAATTCTGTAAACAACCCAGTTTAAACTAATATAACTGGTAAGGAGATGCTTTCTCCTTTTACTGAAGTAAAAGAAAAAACGGGAACAGAGGAAATGATTTTGTTATGGGAAATGTCTTAAACAAATGTTTAATAATCCACAGCACTAGTTTCTTTGTTGTCATCTTCCTTATCGGGCCCTTTATTAAACCCATATCTCCATAAGGACTGTGAATGTAACAGTGGTGTTTCTTCCTTTTGATACTGGCAAATTTAATAATATTAAAACAGATTATGAAAAAAATCAGAATGTTATTCCCATCATTGGATTTTCATTCACACTTTGCTTTAACTTACTATTGTACTCTTACAATTGCATAACCTTGACTTTTTAATAAACTTTTCATATATTTCAAGTGTAATATTAACATATCCACCACCCTGAATACCATGTCCCATGGCTTTCCAGATAAGAGATTTATCAGACAGTTGTCTGGTATGAGTAGAAAAAACGTTTCACCGCCCATGTTATTTTATCTTCCAGATATTGACGTAACAATTATTGATAAATTCCTCTTAATGTTTCTGGCTTTTTTATTCTTCCCCTGTGTTGAAAGTATTTACTATAAGTTCGTTCATCTTTTGCTTCTCTCTTGTTTCTGCTCCTGTCTGTTTATTGGGATTTATTGGAGACTTTCGGTTGAAAGGTCCTCTCTGGCATGTCTCGAAAAAGGCTGTGACACTGAATCAAAACAACGGAGGTGATTTATGGAGGAATATCTGAGGAATAAAAGTAACTACTTTGACATTAAATGTTTATGTCCTCCAATGCTAACATCAAATCAGTAGCATATTTAAGAGATGTGGTATATACAATAAAAATATATATACTGTGTGTGTAATCACACAAGAGTGTGAGTAAATATTGAATTGCTATATATTCTCTGTCATATATTTTATGTCTTTTGGTGACTAAAGGCTAAAGGTAGAGTTATATAAGTGAAGAAAATACAGATGCTTTTAGATGGTGGACTGCATTTGTGTAACTAAATACGCTTGAAGATAAAGTGCAAACATTTCCGTGTCTTTCATACCACAGCCACATAAAGAACAAAACATCATGGTAAAGCTGGAGAACTAAGCCCTCAATATTCATTTCAGGATTAAACAGTCAGATTTTTACATTTCACTGAAACCATGAGGTTTAACACACCCTGCACACATACTATGTTGGGTATTGTTAGAGGAAAAGTTGATGAATAAAGGAGTCCACAATTTCCATTAAAAAGGCAGAATTCATTATGTCGCAGTGGGGACAAGTCAGGTGTCTGTCCTTTATCAGAGGATTGAATTTCAAGAGCCCTTTAGTTGGACAAATTGATTAACTGTTGGTTAAAATCCGCTGCAGGAAATGGATGGGGGGAAGTAAGGTGTTGCTGTAAAGCCATGTCCATGCCTTTTATAATGTAAATGTATTCAGTGTCATGCTTCTTTGAGTCCTGCAGGAATTTGCAGATGGATCTTTTCTTTCAAACTGTTGTATATTTATACCGTGTTCGAGCTGCCCTCAATTTCTGTCATTCAGGTTAATGTTTGAAAATGTGGTTTTCACTCATCACTGAATCCAGAGGTTTTAGAACCAAGACCCCTTCAGGCTTTAGTGATGTTTGGACACAGAGAATTTTCACACACTCTCAAATCTGATTTTAATAGCCATTTTTATATGCATTCTTGGCTCTGGACTTATAAACACAAAATATTGTGGATCACTTCACATGTAGGATGCTACTACTACTACTAAGTACATATGCGTAATTTATCACTGATCAAGAATTGGATTGTTCAACAAGCTGACAAGCATGGAGATACTTTTGAGCTCTTTTTTTTCCTGGCCAAATTGTCACCTGGTGGGACAAGATTTTAGTTAAACTTCAAAAGTTTAATTTGGAGAAAATAACATCAGTGTCAGTCTTTCCAGTGCATACAGTGAGAGTGGCCCATTTGCTCTGGATGCTCAGCAGAATTACCGTAGTTTCTGCTGTATATTGGTCAGTGAGAGCATCTGTCGGCCAGATAACAATTATACCTCCACCCTTCTTTGCTGCATAGAGATGGGGCCATGGGAAATGGCTTGAGGAACCAAGTTCCTGTGCAGAGGGAGTAATCAGCAAGCACACAGAGAAGCTAATTGGCTTTGATTAAGCAGAAGCCAGTTAACATATTGCATCAGGCAAAATATGAAAAAGAGTCAAATGCAGTAAATAGTATGCCGCTAGCTCACTCACTCCTGTCAATCACCTGTCTGCAAATTCCATTATGCCCATGCAGATGTTTATGCGCCCACTTGAACACACAAAGACCGAATCAAACTCTTAAAATGACTGAATTTCCTCGGCCTGTTCTAATGAAGATACCCCAATGTTTCATCAGCAGCACATCCAGCATATTAAAGCTTTTTATCTGCAGAGGAGTTTGTGACAGATGGTACCGCCACATGTCAGTGGATGTGTGCATCTGCAACACTGAGAGAGCGAGATGAAAGAGACAGCAAAAGGCCGACTGTACTGACTTTTACAGGCTGAGTCTAAATCTCTTTCTAAGCTGGGAAGTGATACAAATACATTTCCGAACTGGGCGAAGGCAGTAAATCAATGTGGTGACATGTCATTTTTATCTGTAAACTACATGCATGGCCACAGATTAGGAGAAGTCAAAGCATGTACTTAATGTACCTGTTCAGCCGCATGGCGGCTCTCTGCACAGCGGTGCTCCAGTTTTACTGCTCAGTTTGAACATTATGTTGCTTTTTTTGATAAGCAGGCAGGGGAACTCAGATTATGCTCCAGCCAGCTGTGCACAATACACATATACATATCCCAGATGGATTACTGCAAATCAACCCAAATCAGGATCGGGATTAGGCAATGGACAAGGGAAATATATATAGGTATTTTTTGTGTCCTTAATTCCATTTGGGGTTTAAAAAATCCCAAAACAATTTTAAAGTGCCCCAATCAGATAGAAAACATTGACCAATTAAGGCATAGTTATTTGTGATCCTGTCACTTTGAAAACGAGCTGCAAACAGCAAAATGAAAATGGATGATAAAGGGAATTAAATTACATATAACACACTATTATCATAAAGTTTAGTAGAACTTTTCAATTATACCATTTAAATCACATATACTTTTGTCCGTACGTTTTACTTCCAGCCAACCAGGGTTTCACGTAATGATGATAAATTGTTCTGTAACCTTTTTAGGTTTCCAAATGATTTGCTAGATAGTGATTTGCACAATGGGTACCATTTAAATCTAGTTCTCATACATTACATCAACAGGAGTTTCAATTTGTTGTTTGCAGAGCTGTTACTTCCAAGGAAGTAACTGTGGAAGAAAGTGTGAAATTGTGAGGGCAAAATGGGGGATTGTGGAATTATCTGTGGAGTTTCATCCTGTTATTTCAAACGTTTGATGTCATAGATCGGGAAGAAGAACTTTGTTTTGTTTTGTTTTTTGTCGCATTTGTTCTATTGCAATAAGTTTTTCAGTAAATTATGATAGAGACTAATAATATATTTTAGAAGGTATCAGAGGGATACATCAGTCTTTTTTCACAAAGGGAGGAGAGCCAGGGAGACTAAACCAAACATACCACACCTTCATATGTAAGGATGGAAGGATTAGAAAAAGAAGAAGTGACTTATGTCTCATCTCCAGTCCCATTTTATACTGTAAATACATTATACTATTTTCTGTAAAAGTGTTCTAAATGCAACACGGATGTAGATTTAGTTGAAATTCTTACCAAAGAAAGAATCTGAATACAATAATTTGGTTTGTGGATTGGATAGAAGCAACACTGTCAACACGTATTTGCAGATTTCTGTAAATGCAGTTTCCTGCTACCGTGGAGAAACCGTTGGATGTATATCTAGAGTGGATTAAGACTTGTGTATGCTTGTGTATGTGGTGGCAAATGCCTTTACCTGTGTTTCTGTGAAGTTTGGAGCTTGTGTGCATGATGTGATTTGTGTCCTGCAGATGTGGCTCACAAGGGGACCTCTAATCCCCAGGATACAGACGCTGTGGGTAACCTGTTGAAAGGGTGCTGTGTCAAAGCATAGAAGAGAGGTGGAGATAAGAGAGGATGAAATAACTTGCAGTTTATAGGACATGATCTAGTGAAGCTTCTCAAGGCTGAAGACACAAAAACGTTTAAGGCTGCAGGTTTAGTGCTTTGCGGAATTTGATTTTGGTGTATACAACAGCAGACTCAAACTCTCATAAGCAGCACAAATACAGCTAAAAGTGGAATATGACAACTTTAAACTCCAAAGTAATTACTCCCAGTTGTAAGCACCCTTTTCACAAACGATTCAACCAAGTATAGTGGCAAAAATTGACCTTTTTTGTAGAGAGTCGATGTGCTTCCGCAGCCTGAGGACAGAATGAAAGATGATAATTCAGATAATAGTATCACACAACAAGATAATTAGTCACTGTGCAAATTATTTCAGCATAAAAAAACATATTAATGACTCACTTTTTATGCACTCTGGGGTGCTTTTTATATTTAAGCTAATGTATTAAATCAATATAAAATGTGATGTGTGTTTTGCTAATGTCTTCTCCTGTGTAGTAGAGCATTTCATCCCCATGTCCTCTTAGGATGTTGTTTTGATACACAGGGAGAGCTTGAGTGTCCATTTCTATTGGCAAAAGTTCATTTTTCAATAAACCCACATGAATAATGATAAAATGATTTCTTTATCAGGTAAAAGTCATAAGGGTTGTTCCTCTAGTTCAGATAAGGTAACCTTTCTTGAACTATTCTTTCTGTAAAAGTATTTTTTTTGTTTCTCACCCTGACTCATACTCAATGACTCAATAGCTTTGTAAGAGATAATCTGTAAACATTTTTTGTCTTTTTGCTTTTTTTTTAATGGCAGAATGGAACAACATTTTCAGCATTTGGCTTTTCCTATTTTGGTTTTTACCTTTATTGGAGATTCAGTCTTAATTGAACATGAACTATGACAGAAAGGGAGCAATGAAACGATTATATCCAATGATGTTCTAACTGTTACCTTGATCTCCATTTTTTCGTCAGCAGCAGGTGCAACTGATTTATTAGCTGAATGTCCCAGTTTATGGCAATTAAAGCTTGGCAGCAGCAGCATTAACTTTTATTTCCCGTTCCAGCTGTAGTGATGATGGTACTACAATCACCAGCTTTCATTCACTGAAAGTAGATAGTCAAATAAAAAATATGTTGTCCCTTTTTACAAAAGCATTTATTGTGTACACACATGCACAATGTTTAAGAAATGAGCCGTGCTGTAAATGGCCGTGCTGTATGAAGTATTCAACAGGCAGTAAGAGACCCACAGAGATTTTTCCACTAGGAGATAGACCTACACTCTATGAAATCTTGTCTTTTTCTGTTATAGAAGAGGACCACACGCTGCGGATCCTGCTCTACTCTCTCTTCTTCTTCCTGAGTGTGTTTGGCAACCTGCTGATCATTGTGGTGCTCACAGTCAATAAGCGCATGCGCACCGTGACCAACACCTTTCTGCTGTCGCTGGCTGTCAGCGACCTGATGATGGCCATCTTCTGCATGCCCTTCACCCTCATACCCAGCATCCTCAAAGACTTCATCTTTGGAGCAGCCATGTGCAAGATAGTGTCCTACCTCATGGGTAAGTGAAGGAAAATACAAACTAGTCATAAATCATTTGACTCTTATTTTTATATATATAAACTATACAGTTGCAGATACTGTTCAGTGCAAACGACAACTGTCATTTCCTTCAAATTTCTCCAACAAAGAGAGATATTTTGATTATCATTGGAAGGGGATTTTTTTAGTTCATCATGTTTTCTGAACACTTCAAGTCAAAGAATTATTTTCTCAGCCATTTTACAGTGACTGCTGAACTATTTGTCAATCAAATATAAAAAAGGCACCATCGTCGAGATTTAGATGTCAGAGGTGCACTACACAATTCAGTAAGCATCTTTACTCATCTAATATCAGCAGCCTGTTGGAAATACGACGTCCCTTGTTTTCCATGTTTTTAGCTTTATATTTGATGGCAAAGATAGAACTGCTTGACAGCCATAAAATAATCTTTTTACTCCAAGAAGATGATTCACACAGTATTTATTAACTTCAAACACATTATATTTCACTGTGATGTGAAGTGTGTTCTGTAACAATTTGAAAAAAATCCGAAATGGTCTCAATGGAAACGATAAGCTGTTAAGAAGCCATTTAAAAGGAATGGAAACAGGGAGAAAAGACCAAATTAGGTATACCAAATTATACAATAACTGGGCTGAAAATCAGGTCTTAAAATGGGTCTTTTGAAGTGATAAATCCTCCTCAGAATTAAGCAGTTCAGGATCATCTTGACAAAGAGTGGCTTTTCAATGCCCTCTATAAAGTGGAGAGTAATATTCCTGAAAATGACAAAAATGCTCATGGAAGAGAGTGCAGGTTGTGTTGACAATTAGAAGTGTTGATACCAAATGCCTTCAGTACACACCATAAATGTTCTCCTAGGGTTCATTATAACAGCAAACATTTCTTGCTTTTCAGGCAGTATGTTGGTAAATAAGCATAGGTTCAGGACTTTTGCACTGTATGATAACCAACAAACTTCACCTCTTAAAATTTTTAGATCTCATCTGCATGAATACTCATGACACTCGAAATGAAAGGAGTGTATTTTTAGAACCCATGTGAACAAATAAGAATAATAACAAAACTGAGTTGTTTCAGTGTAATCCACTTTGATATGAATATTCCGTAATATGTTATTTATACCAGCAACTCTTTTTTAGTTGAAACAGTCTTGAAGAGCCAATTAGTGTCTGACCTCAATGTATTTTAAGCGAGTTATCCATGATCTAATGTCTTCTGATGATCACTTGCTGATGGAAGGTCAGTTGCCTTCTAAAAGAGGTTAGAAGTGCATACGCCACTGGGAAATTCAGTCAAGATTTTGCATGAGCAGAGATGATTGGAATATTACTCAAAGAAAGAAATTGAAGTTTAAGACTGCTGTGAAGATACAAACAGACTCAACCTCATGCGTAAAATGTATCATGATCTCAAAATGAGAAGGTTCCATGTAACTAATTTAATCAGATATTATAATTTTTAGATGATATATCATTATTGACACGATCTTCAGATAGTGTTGATACTAGTATTGTGAATGAGCAACACAGTAATTGTTTTTATAATCAAGAAAGAATATGCTTAATTAGAATAACAGATATATTATTTTCCATTCTCTAGGGAAAATAGTAGTGGTGAAAAGCAGAAAATGTTGATTGTTTTGCTTTTTGGTGACTGATTGTAACAGCCTTCAGAGTTTGTCTGATGAGGAGCCCAGGGCTAATTTCAGACACATGAAAAAATGGCCACTGCTCGTAACCAAAGCAACACTCATGGCAGTGAATTATTCTGCCTTCTTATTTTCTTTTTGCTTTTGAAAATGTCAAATTTTATTACAAGCTGCTCTACTGATGAAATCGCGTATCTTTGTCCACACGTAGTATTGTGACATTTTGTATGGTCGCTGAGCACATAATAGCTTATTAGCAGAACTTGTCAACGAGGGAAACAATGATATCAAATATGGAACAAGAGGAGCCGAAAGCCCTCCTGCAGCACCCAGGCTCAGCTCTTTCAGATAAAAGTAATCTGGCTACATACAAAATTCATTGTGGTCTCACAAGAACATAGCGTGGTGATTTTACCATGACTATGTGAGCTCCAGTAAATTAATTGCATATGCAAAGGGAATTAAAGACCCTGGATCTCAACTCACCCCCATCAGTGCAAAGGCATACTGTAGTTTGATGATGAAACAACAGTCACTGTAAATGGGTCTGTGATCATGCTGTGCTTTGTTTTTTTAAGACTCTGGCTGTGACATACTTCCTGATGAAAGGTTGTAACCCTGACCGCACGCAGTGCTCGAGTTTGTGCCGTGACTTTGCTCCAGAAGTCCTGGGGTGTCTTGGTGCCAAATAGGTCATGATGGTGCTTAAAATCCTAATAAAAAACAGCAGCTTAGACAGAGACAAAAAGCAACAGAAGTCTAAGCAATAACTATATCCAGCCACGTCTTCACCGATCACACTTTGATATTTTGAAATGGGTGATGAGCACTATACAGTGGAAATGTCTATGATATCTGCTTTCAGTGTTATCAACAGAGCAATATCCAACCCTATCAGTGTGTTTTCATTTGACTGTTTTGGAAGGAGATCCCATAAGGAATAATGCTTGTCATATTTGGGCGCACCGTACTGCGTCATAACTGTGTTCAGTATCACGCTTGACTTCATAGAACAGGGTTGTATAGCCCCCCTGAAGAGTAACCGACATCATCAGATTTAAGAATAAACGTCTCTTCTTTTATTTCCACTCTTTTTGGTATTTTCTGATAATCAAGATAAATCGCTGCTGAGAATGGCAGTCGCAGCTTCGTAAAACCTTCAGCAGAAAAAGGTATTACGTTTAACTCTTCTCTGTCTCTGCTTTTAGAACATGAGCCCATGTTGCAGTGCTCATTTTGGAAAATACAAAACAGGAAGTGAAGCCTATTAGATGCCAATGCCAAATTGCCTTTTAAAGTGACTGACATGCTTCCAGCTGAAAATGAAAAGAGCACAAAACCATGAGGCACTGCAGCCCATTACAGTGCTGTAACAATGAAGCTCCTTGTGGATGTGGCTCCTGCACTCAGGAAGATAACAAGTTTTATGACCTCATGTCAATCATGTTGCAGAAGGTTTTGATCACTATTGAGTAGCCTTACATCGACGATGGAATGTAGGGCATTTTCATTACCTTTTCCAATTCTAAGATGTTCACTGATGTACACTTTCACTATTCTCCTCTTAAAGTGACTGACTTAGATTCATCTGTTAGAAGGTGTTCTCTTCTTTGTCACTCTCATCTTAGGGTAATCACAGCTAAAATATTACTTTTATGTTTGTCGTTTTCTGCTCTGTCACAGTTACATTTAAATGAAACTCTGTCATTTCCTCTTTGGCTTTTAAAATGCATTCTGTTTGAATTCACACATGAAACGATGGCCTTATCTTCAAGAAAGCAAAAGCTCTAGAACTGTGAGAACGAAAAAGAAAAATATTTCATACAAATGGAAAAAGACTGGAGTATTATGACCAAATGCACCAAAAAAACTCCCCAAAACTGCAATGCTTTTGCTATACGTTCAGTAGATTTTTAATGATTTGATTTTAAAATGCTGTGTCCATAATCCATATTACACAAAAATATATTTTTTTAGCCAGCATTCACACCTGAGTAAAATTACTCAACAATAAATGATCAACAGTGATGAATGATGATAAATGTGTTTATGTTTCTCCTTGAGGATGCTGTTATCAGGAGAGTAAAAATGGCTACAAAAATGAGTGAAAACATCATAAATTAACACCCCACAGGGAGACAGCGAAAAACAGCTCTCTGAGAAAAAGAGAGGATGCTGATTGTGCGTCCTGCTGTGTGGGACTGATTTAATAAACTTGTCTAGTTATTAGAGAAAGTAATGATGATACTACTGTACAGAGGTGTAGGCGTCCAAAACATCCTGCTTTAACAACAGTGCATCAGCACATGTAGAAGAAAATTACTTCTTTAAGTGTGCTCAAATTGGTGTGCAAATGAAAGCAGAGTGTGTGCTGCATGCAGAGCAATTTCACTATTTCATCTGCAGTGGAAAATCTTGTTCCTCCTTTATTTCACATTTTTCAAACTGTAAAAACAGTGTGTGCTCAGTGTTGCACAGTGTGTGATTCAGAACCCTGTTTCTGTTGGCTGGTGAATGGGTTGGCGTAAAATGCTGTTCAGAATGCATCAGTCAGCATTCACAGGGTTGTGATTATCCAGCATATTTTTTCCACTTCATTTTCATTTAATGCAAATGCACATAGGACACATCTATGTGCGTGACACCATTTTTTCAAATGCTTTAACCTCAGAAAGACCATTGACTCCACCTGTAAATGTTTTCTGGCCTTTTTATTTAAATCAAATCAAATTTTGAGAGCCTGTGAAAACGAAATAAAGCAGCATTCCTTCTGATCTGTGATCATGAGCCACTGATTTAAATGTGCCGTGATCCGTAAAAATACAACACAAAAACAAGCACAGCAGTGAATCATTCGGTATGCCGAAGGAGGTAACAGCGGATCTGAACTAGTGACAGAAAGAAAAATGTTTTCAAAGTGATCCGTTTTCAGTTAAATGTTAAAACAGCTAAATTAGCAGTACTGATTATTGTTAGTGTTGTCAGAAGCAATTTCCTGCTGTGATGGAAATGGTCTGCACTTTTTAGATCTGTGCAAATAGGTAGTAATGAAAGAATTCTAACCCCAGACACTGACAAACATGCGCTTCAAGTTAGCATAAAACACAATTCTTTTCCTCTTGGTGAGGGGAGATCTCATGCCTTTAAAAACTGACATTTCACCTGGCTGGAGCCCCTTCTGGATCTGGATTTGCTGTCAGCAACTAAATGTTAGGTTTTACTGTTGGGAAGGAGACTGCGCTCTGCCCTCATTTCAGGTGATGGATCACGTTTATTTTCCGAGGCCATCAAGTCTTCAAATGAAAAAGGAAATGTGCATGAACACGAAAAGCCTCTTTTGCAACATATTGAGCAGCACATCTCATAGGGAATGTCTCTAAGCATCTGGCGCAAACTGGCCGCTGGGATTTCTGCCCATTTCCCATTAACTTTGCTCCAGCTCTTTGGATCTGTATGGATTTTGCCAAAGTACAGTAATCTTTGAGTCTTACAGATTCATTCTGGTCAGATTGACGCGTTGAAACACTCCCTCTTAAATCTCTACAGTGCTGCTTTAGTTATGTGTTTGTGTGGTTGTGTTTCAGATGGGTGAATCTTTATTTCCAATCTAAATTCCCTGTAAGACTGAGGCAAGTTAGTATTTAGCTCCATACATCACTTTTTTTGCTGCTCAGAAATTCCAGAGCCCTGTTGAAGAACAACCCCTGTGGACATTATTGCTGCCTTCTTGAGCTGAGAGATTTTGAGTTATAGCGTTGCATGCAGCTTCGTCCTATATTAGTTTTAGTTTTAATCAACAGAATATGTTCATCCCAAATTTAAGAAGCCTGCATTGCATTTAAGAAATGTGCATTTTTATTCTAACCACTCTCCATTACAAGTTCTGCATTGGAGTTTGGCCACAGTTTAAAGTAGTCATATGAGCTGAATGTCTAATTTCTGCTGTGGAGCTGTGCAGTTCAAGTTATTTTTTGGTATTTATGTTACATCTCTACTTCAGGCCTTTCCTCCCTGGTCCACACATTTGATGGCAACTTACAACTGGTTTATCATTATAGAGATCATGTGTAATTTCAAATCCACAAATATGGAGTTAAGTGAATAAGGCAGTTACTTTTGTTTTAGATAATTTTCTGGCTCATCGGTTTGTTTGGTTAAACAATGTGTGCATTTTATCTCACTTTATCATGATTTTTGCCTCTGTCATTTGTCAAATGATATAATTTCCTGCTACTCATGAAATTACTTGATAAGGTATGGTACTGGATATGTTCCTGACCCCCCCAACTATTAAATGCCCATCTATTCTCAAGTGCACGTACACAGTGAAGGCTGTTCCAAGACGGAAGTAAGTTAATGCAGAGTAGAGTAATCCATGAAAAATCAAGTCATTTGAACAGGAGTCAGAAGAAAATGAAATATTCTACTACAGTATTACACTGATCCGTGTGCTGGAATACAGAAAATATCAGGGAACATGCAGAAAAAGAGTTCAAATGAAATGAAAATTGATTAATGGACAATGCTTCTTAAAAAAAAATGAACATACAAAAAAAATATTTTGAAGCTGAACTGGACGCTTGTGTAGCTCTGTGTGAAAAAAAGCTTCTTAGAAATAAAGACAGAAAAAAACTAGAAAAGAAAACCTCTTTGGGGCTGTTAAGTGATTGTTTTTTGCGTCACTGGTTTCCACTCTAAAGCTTCATTCGGAAGTTTAGACAGCATAAAATACCCTGGTGTCTTCACTCCATCTCCTCCACATACAAACACACACTCAAACATATATTTTGTCTTGTCACTGAGGACATGGTTGAGAAAGGTAAAGATAATTTCCTGTCATGTACTGGAAGTGGGTGGATGGTAGATCATATCTCATCATGATTTCCTTTACCACGAGATCCAGATAACATCCCCACCTCTCCATGTCTCACTATCTTCTTCTCCAAGCACATCTTCATAGAGCACCATGTTTTGTTGTGATCCCAGATATGACAGTCACACTCAAAAACTTTTTGTTATTATCTCCTTTTCATTTGAATCCAAGACCTACTGTACATTAGTCATGAAATTATATCATTATTAGCAATAAATCAGACAGACAATAAATCAAAACTCAGACAGTATCATGTGAGTTTTGCCATTTTGAAATAATCCCTTTTGTGTTCCTGCAGGAATATCCGTGAGCATCTCCACCTTTAACCTGGTTGCCATAGCAATTGAGCGCTACAGTGCCATCTGTAACCCTCTAAAGTCGCGGGTGTGGCAGACCCGTTCCCATGCCTACCGTGTGATTGCTGCAACATGGGTACTGGCCTTCATTATCATGATTCCCTATCCAATTGTCAGTCACCTGGAGTCCTTACAGCGTCCTGACAAAACTACAGCGCACCAGTGTCGCCACAAGTGGCCCCTCGCAACTGCAGAGCAGGCCTGGTAAGTGTCCATGTTACACTTATGGCAAGAGGAAATAGATTTGTTGTTATATGGAAGGGAAGCTTTTTGTTTTTACCCAATGTTTGAGAGCAGTTATCAGCCTCACCACATATAGGATGAATGTCAAGCCCTTACAAATAGCATCATAAATACAAAGGCAGCTCATTGTGTGGGAAGTTACATCTTGCTGCATATTACATATTTAATGAAATACAGTTGCACGCAAGAACACGGGATATAAACAATTTATTCTGTACTTTTTTCCACAGTCGCTGTTCATTATGCCCGTGTCATTTGGAGACACTCTCCTCTACTCTGTTGTCAGAACTAAATGCAAATTTAACCTGTTGAATTTGCACTTGCTGGTTTATTTGCAACCTGTTAACAGTAGCTTTTCATCTTTCTTTTTTTTTTGACTGCCAGTACAGCATGCATCATGTATCCGAATGTGTCCACAACAGCAAAAAATAAATGGAGAACAACATAAAGATCTGTGGAATGGAAAACAAAATCATAACTCTTACTAGTACACAGACTCACAGAGGGCACTCCTGAAGATTTACTGCAATGGCCACATATTGTCTGAACTGATGATCCCTCCAAGATTACACAAGGGTGAAAACATTGATTTTTTTTTTTTTGGAGGGATTCAGTTAGACTGCCATGAGCCATTTAAGCTTTATTTAAACAAAATGGTTCAAGCAGCATAAGTCATGAGCTTCTGTCACTGGGGGACCTGCAGGGGGACTTTCTTCTCTCCAGCAAAAGCATCTTAAACCCCTGGCAGCGATTTAGAATCTAAAAAAGCACACACGTTTACATTATAACCTCATATTTAGAGGCATATATATCCTGGGCATTTGGATCGTCACAAAGGACAAAATTCATCTCAAAGAGAATCCTTCATACAGAAGGTGACAATAATAACACTGCAATGACTATTATGCATCTGTTATGACCATTATAAGATATATAATTCAAACCAGAGATTTGCCACTGACGAGATTTACAGTACAGTACAGCTGTATATTTACTATAGTTAAGAATAGTAATGTCTTCTTGCGGCACATTATAAGCAGCCCACTTGCAAAGTAACTGAAGTGGCAGGTTTTTTGTTCAAACCCACACATATAGAGGAAACTGTCTGAGAGTTCTTTATTAGTGTGTCTGTGTACCTTCAACAGGGCCCACTTCACTACAATTTAACTCAGCTCAGGATTCATCTATGTGAGCTCACTCATGTGATATAATTATTTAGCTTTTGTTCATGTCTGTTTATTTTGATATATGAAATTGCTTCATTAGAAAGATGAGGACCACAAAAGCTAAACATTTGCTAAAATTCCCACCTAACTAATTCTCACATCCTCTTTTTGAAATATTCCTTCTTTCTGGATGAGGCCACCTCTTAGATCTGAGATCTGCTATGGCTTGTTTTTGTTAGAATTCTTTAAATTCTGTAAAGGCTCATGTTGGTTGAAGGGCATCGTTTTTTTTTTAAAAGGGCAATGCTTCGATCTATAAATTCCTCTCTAAGATTTTTGACAACTCTTGCTCACTTTCTTTGCAGGTACGTGCTGCTTCTGCTCGTACTGTTTGCGATTCCAGGAGTGGTGATGATAATTGCCTATGGATTGATTTCCAGGGAACTTTATCGAGGCATCCAGTTTGAGATGGGTAACAAAAAAGACTCTACTGGTGAGGCAATGCACACTTTATCTGAAAACACTTTAGAGACTTAAAGTCAAGATGTATATTGTGTCACAGAATTTTCTGTTATTCTAACCAAATGAAAGTACTGTAAGGACACATGCTACAAGATCAGATTCAGAACAGATTGTATCCACAACCTCCCGTCTCAAACTTGCCACCGTTCCTTGACAGTAACTACCAACAATATCTTTTTACACCAGGGTGATGCTGCTTTATAACGTCACCTATAGAAAATAAATATTCTCTTTTACCATGTATATGCCCATATAGCATAATATATGTGAAATTTACTGTCAAAATAATATCACATGCAAAATAAACCGGGATGGAGAAGGAGCAGCTGTGGCTTTGGAATTTAATACTTACCGTCTTTACTGCATCATTGCTGTGGATGTGGATGCCTTGGAGCTCTCAAAATATTTCCATTCAATATTTTTCTCTTTTGGAAAAAAGCACGGTAATTGAATTGTATCAATAAATTCTAATAACCCATGCTGGATAACTACTGTACGTCAGCAGGAACTTAAAATCACTTTTCGGCCCATTAGGGTGAGCAGCTGCTCTTTAAAGAACTATGACTCACTCAGATAACCCGTTCAATTTGCCGTATGGGTCATCACAGAAATCAATCAACTGGCTACAGAGAAAGAGAAAAAAAAACTCAATAACTTCTCTGGTCAAGTGTTTTTAAACCTAGAGGAGGGAATATTGATTGAATATCCAAAAATACTGCATTAGTAGGACATTTATTGGAGATTATAAAAGAAAAGTAGGTCATTGCATATAATTTTCTTAAATTGGAATATTTAGATTTGTACACACATACAAAAAAAGAGCACATACAAATCTTCCATTTATTTATTTGTTTATTTTTTACTTTGACATCAAGTTTGGGTGAACATTAAAAATTGACTATGATGCACAACCAAACTATCACTATCACCACAGTGTTCTTCTCAGTTGGTTAGGAGGATTTCTTCATTTTGTTTGTTAACTGTGAAAGGGCTTTTCTCACTCTAAACAGTAACTTTATTCATTAGTCATCACTTAGTGTTTTTTTACCTTGCTGTTCCATGCAGATGCAAAGAACGGGCTGACCTCCACTGTGTCTAACGGTAGTGATGATGGCGATGGCTGTTACGTGAATACAGTCAAGCAGCCGCACTCGATGGAGATGTCCACCATGAATGCCTCCACCAGGCATACCAAGGCAGAAAGACCCCGCAGCAACACATCAGAGGCCAAGCTGGAAGCCAAGAAACGAGTTATACGCATGCTGGTGGTCATCGTTGTCCTGTTCTTCCTCTGCTGGATGCCTCTGTACTGTGCCAATACCTGGCGGGCTTTCGATGACCTCTCTGCCAAACGTGCCCTTTCAGGGGCTCCTATCGCTTTTATCCATTTACTGAGCTATACATCAGCCTGTGTCAACCCTATTATTTACTGCTTCATGAACACACGCTTCCGGAAGGCGCTGCTCTCCACTTTTCTGTGCTGCTCTGCACCTTGCCGCCGCCACCGCCGCCGCGGGCTACGTGACAACGATGAGGATGTTATGGCAACAGGGGCATCCATGTCTAAGTTCAGTTACACTACAGTCAGCACCATGGGAGGCTGCTGAGAGAGATGGATGCAGGCGCAATCCAGAAAAGACAGTTACTACGGTAACCCAGCACTTCGCACCCTTTGTTTTCAGGCCAATGCTGTGATCACAGTAAAAAATGTGAGTGAGTGGAGAAACAGTTCATAGAATGTAGCAGTTTGTAAGCTTTGCATTTGACTGTGAGCAAAGGTACATAGATATTATTTGATTAAACCGAGTTTTACAATGTAAATACCTCCGCAGCTATATTTAAAAAGCACAAAAACAGAATATACACTTATTTCGTGTCACTGTGGATTAAGGCAAATTGTGTGTTTAGATGTTTACCACAGCGAGTATGCTTTGCTATTTGGTTGGTGAGTTGAAGAGGGCATAATTAGGTAGCGTGCTATGTCATTACTTAACTTAGTAATAGAAAAAAAAGTAGAGCATTTTTTGTCTGCTGTCAGTTGCTGAATAGTGTGTTAATGATGGTAACTCTGTTGCCTTGTGGAATAAGTGCCTGATTACAAGTTCTGTTTTACATTCGTCTCATACTGAGTTGCTCAATGTAATATTAGCATAATAAACACTTTTCCACAGCCAGTTATTTAGATGTCAGTTTAGCTTAAAATTCTACTTGGAGATTTGTAATTTGCTCATGAAAACTGACCGATTAGTTGCCAAATGACGAATCACAGTTCACAAAAAAGAAAAAAAACTCACACATACAGTGTAGTGCAAGACACTTACTCTATGTGTGTGTAGAAGTCGTGCTTTTTTTTGGGATTGCATACTAGTATCTAGTTTGCTCTTTACAAGAAATATCTAAATAGAAACTTCTTTTTTAACAGACACTGCATTAATATAATACAATAATTGAATTCCGTTTTTCAATTAACATATATCATACTGATATGTTAGTATATATGTCAAATTGAATCGACAATAAACCAACCAATTCATGAAACTAAATCAAGACTAAGGAAAATTAATGACAAAATAATCCAATAGAGCTCTTCTGTCTGGACGCACCAGCTATCTGTTCTAATGTCTTAAACTTGTCTGCACTTGCAGTGACCGGACGGTTAAATCAGCCCAGAGAGGTAGTGAGTTTCCTTTTTTATAAATTCATAATCTTTATGTTCTCATCTGTTAACTTTAGGTGAGAACAATAACTGCTCAGTTTTGAAATTCCAAAACCAAATGATAAATTGACTGTACTTATAAAATGCCCTTATAGCCCAATTGCAGCCCTCTTGCACAGCAAATCACATCCACCCAGTCACACAACTACTCATTTAGCCAAGCTGAGGAAAAAAGAAAACTTTTATACAGCATTTAATAATTAATAAGGCTGCAATGAAAGCAGATAGAAAGAAACATAGGAGACACGTTCCTCACCAAAAAATGTATAATGTGATGTACTTACATGGAAACGAAGGCGGCTAGCAAAATTGTGTGCAAGTGGCTGGTGGTTCTATATAACTAAAAAATGATGGAGCCTAAAAAGAACCTTTCGAAACAAAGGGTTTTAAGGAAATGTTCTCTCCTTACTGCAGATAAGAGAAAAAGCAGGTGCATGGCTTAAACCACTGCGTATGACTGCCCCATCCCCTACCTCATTTCTCCTTATCAGAAATCTGTGGCATTTTTACTACTTCATCCGCTCTGATATAGGAACATTAATTTGATTTGCATTTCAGACCTGCTGCTTTTAGGTGAAGTGTTTTACAGCAGACTACTTTGAGGTATATTTAAAGGTATGAACAATTTTGAATTCATGACTTACTGATAATGCATGAGTGTCTTTTGTTAACTCACGTATAGGGATGGCTGCACCGTTGGATCCCTCCAACCTGAGCTCGTTGGTCAGTGAGGGAACTTATATGGTACATATATGGATATCACTTGAGCATTTTCTGAGAAACATCAGGAGCGTGTATATTAATGGTTTCTTGTATATGTTAAAGGACAACATTTCTCCTTGATAAATGGGTTGATTCAGTGCGGCCCCTTTAGTGTATACAAGGCTCTGACGCTGCTAAGCATACCTGCGGGCTCCAAAGTGGACGTCACATTTCAGAGATCTCTCTTTGTCAAGCCTTCTTGCGTGCTTGTGACTCTGGCGCCCCGACTCCCCTTTCACTAATTGTGTTACAGCCTCAGCCCTGCCAGACTCAGCCAGAGAGCATATTTCACCGAGTGGGCCAAAGCACAATGCTGTCAGTCTCAGAACTAATGATAAATGGCTTGCCTTTGTGCTTAACTCTTTTTCCCCCCCCCCCCCCCCCGCCCCTTTTCATTCACACTTATAGCATCATATGTGTGGATTCTTCTCCTTTGTGCATAAAATTTGGCTGGTCATGGAGGACTGCATGGAGAAAAATATCAGCTGAAATCTCAATCTGCAAACCAGAAAATCTGGGAAACGCCAATTGTATTGTGACACCCAAAAGTAAGTCTTTTTGTGTCCACCACAGAAACACACTGAAACAACCTTT